TCAAGCATGCTGAGCCTGTCGCAAAATTCCTTACCAAGGTTGAAAAGCTTCATAGTCTTGTCCATGAGTGGCAGCTTGTTGCAAGCAGAGAGTTCTCAGCTGCTGGTGTCTATGATGAGATCACGAACTTGATCATTAACTGGCGACGTCTTGAATTGTCGACCTGGGCAAGGCTTCTGGATCTCGAGAAAGAAAAATGCGTCCAGGATGTGAGCCAATGGTGGTTTGTGGCTTATGAAGCCATCATCGGAGCCCCTGTCCAACTGGCAGAATCTGGTCAAACGGACCTGAGTGAACATACTCAAGAAGTGATTGCCACATTGGAGAACTTCTTCCGCTCGACCACCTTGGGTCAGTACAGCGAGCGCCTGCTGCTTGTCAAGAACTTCCGATCTCTGCTGTCGCTTTACATTCAGGACTTCCCTTGCTTGAAACAATTGGTGTCCGCACTGGACAACTTTATGCAGCATTACACACAGTTCGGACCGCCGGTGCACAAGCTCCTCGTGGAGCGGAGGTCGACGCTCGAAAAAGACATCAAGGAACAAATCCAGCTGGCCAGTTGGAAGGACACAAATATTGTGGCGCTCCGAGAAAGTGCTAAAAGATCGCACCATAAACTGTTCAAACTTGTCCGGAAATACCGAGAAATCTTGGCTCAGCCTGTCCAGCATATCTTGGAACAAGATATGCCAGATGACAATGAGGAACCTGGCTCCACTGACCAAGCATTGGTTCTGCCTTCAGCAAGTTTCCCCGAAGCGCTCGCCTTGTGCCAAAAGGAGAACAAAACCTGGCAAAACAGACCGCCTCGATTCAGGGATCCTGACGGCACCGTTAGCAACATGACTCACATGTATGTGTCGATCTCGACCGAGTTTGACGTTTCGGCGGATCTCGATGGCTTCATGAAGTACTTCTTGGAAAGCATCAAGGAGTTCCGATCACAAACTCCGAAGACCTTGACTGAAGAAAACAAAGATGATGTTCAACATCTCAAGGTCCAAAAGCGCCGGTTCTATGCTGATACTTTGCGCCGGCTGCTAGAGATGGGTGTCAAGCGTAATGCTAGCACTAGCTTGATTGAAACACAAGCATCTGTTGCACAAGTTCTTGCCAGCAGTCCGGCTCTTGAGGTTGGCTCTGTAACAACCACTGTCGTCAGAAGCGCTGATCTCTATTTCCACAGACTTCTGGACATCCTTCCTCGGGTTCGCCAGGCGGCGCATAATTACTCGGAAGACCTTAGCAATGTTGAAATCTCAAGAAGCTCAGGATCCGTTGAGCATCTGTTGCATTTGGTTAGGAAACAACGAGCAGCCATATCTCCAGCCATATCTGGTGTGGAATCGTTCCAGTCAACACTCGTCAAGATTTCAAACCTTTGGAAATCTAACCCTACCTCGGTCCTCAAGTCACGCCCCCAATTTTCGAATGAGGTTCGGGATGTGACCAGAGCTGTAGCCTGGCTGACCCCTATACTTGGCCTCGCCATGACAGTTGTGGAACTCCACTCCAAGTTCTCCGGCATCAACTCGTCGAACATTGTGGATGGCCTTCGCTCCTGGAAAGAAGTCTTCAGCAGGCTGCAAAAGTCACTGGGCAGTTTGCCAGAGCTACCCCATGGCGTAACTTCACAGCTACACGTAGAGATGCTGAAGGAAGCATCTTCCTCCTTTGATAAGCTGAACACTGACCTTACGGTCTGGGCCGAGAGCCGACCTGATCTGTCATTTGTCCTGATACAGATAACTCCCTGGGCCCACGTTAGTATTGAGCAATCTGAGGTGTTGCAGTCTAAGAATACTCTCGCTATCGAGGAGTTTGATGGCAGCCTGCTCACCGCAATTGACAAGATCCTCATCAGTCTCCAGAAGCTGAGGGAGGTGCCATCACTGATCGTATCCCCGGGCTCATTGTCACGGAGCGACGAGTTCTTCACCAGGGCTTTGAAGGCTGTTCATTTGTCCGATATCACAAGATCCCTGGAGTCGGTTTTGGATGAGCTACAGGGCCTCAAGACACGTTCAAACTCCGGTCTTGTTCCTGCTGTCGCATTAGTCGCAAGCTTGCTGCCTATCATGAATAAGTATCGTAACATTTGCAAGGATCTCGTCGATCGCTACCTGACCGTGCATCGTGAGACATGCAAAATGTCCTACTTGCTGGCCAAGTCATTCACTCAGGTCGCATCTGAGGGATTCTGTACTCCCGCAGAAGCGTCGACGGAAGAAAACAAATCTGGGAAGCTGGAGAGTGGAACGGGTCTCGGCGAAGGACAAGGAGCTGAAGATATCAGTAACGATATTGGTGATGATGAAGACTTGTCGGAGCTTGCTCAACAGGAACAGACTGAAGAGCCTAACGAGGATATGGACGAGTCAGGAGATGCAGTCAACATGGATCAAGAAGAATTACGCGGAGAGACAGGCGAACACAAGAAGGAGGAGGATGAAGAGGACGCAAGCGGCGACGAAGAGGATGACAATATTGATGAGGAAGTAGGCAGTGTTGACGATCTTGAGGAAACTGCAGTGGATGAAAAGATGTGGGATGGCGCTCATGATGAAGAGCAGAAGGAGTCTGAGAACCAAGAAGGCAAGGGACAGTCTGAGTCTGATGAACAGACTGCCGCACAAGAGCGCAAGGAGAAGGAAGGAGAAAAGGGAGAGGGCAAGAGCGAAGAAGACCAGGAGGAAGAGGAAGAGGAAGAAGAAGCTCCAGATGATGAAGGCGAGGCTGTTGGGCGCGAGGAGATGGATGTCACAGATCCTCATGCCAAGGAACAGGATGCTCTCGACCTTCCAGACGAGATGCAGCTTGATGGCGATGAAATGGATAAAGACGAAGGCAACGAGAGTGACGATGGCCTCGATGATGGCCTCGACGACGATCTCCCTCCTGCTGAAGATGAGCAGCCATTCGATGGGAAAGAGGAAGAGAATGTTGAGAACCCTGATTTGGATCAACCAGCAGAGGAGCCAGAGGGCGTGCAGGGTGATGAGGAAGCGGCGGCTGAAGATGAAGAGATGAAAGAGGCCGAAGCCGAAGAGACGAATGAGCCCGGGGAAGAAGAACCAGAAGAGGCTCAACAGGATGATTTCTTAACTCAACGCGATGAAAATGAAGAGGCTGGCGAAGAAGTGGCACCAAGCGAGGCTGTTAATGGTGGACTCGGTGCGGACCAAGATCAAAATATGGATCAAGGCACATCTGGCAATGCAGAACAGGAGAGTGGTTCAGCTGACCAGTCTGATGATAAACAACAAAAGACTGGTGCTGCCAACGAAGGAGAAGACAATGAGCGGCATAGAGACGCAGGCGGCGGAGATGATGCCAACCGCAGCGATCCGCAGCTGCAGGCCTTCAAGAAAATGGGTGACATCCTCGAACAGTGGCATCGCCGGCAAAAGGAGATTATGGAGGCCTCTAAACAGGAAGAGGACGAGTCAGATCAGCCGTTGCCTCAGGATACTGACATGGCTGATGCTGATTTCGAGCATCTTGCAGACCAAGATGATGTTGCTGATACCCAAGCACTTGGCCAGGCTAATGAAGAGCAAACACAGGCTCTTGATCAAAACAAGGGTGTCGAGTCGGATGCCAAGCATGGTGACAACGAGCCTTTGCCGGTCGATTCTGACGAGCCCCAGGACACCCTCGAGAACAAGATGCAGGATGAGATGCAGCTGGATGCCGCTAGTGAGTCCAAGGACCAAACTGCTGGTGCATTGATCCCTGGCAGCTCGCATACCCAGGAGCGCACAGTCGACGCCGCTGGTCAGCAGGAAGCCATCGAAGAACTCGATGAGGTAGACGCACAATTGGCAGCAATCCATCTGTCTTCTTCGCTTCCTCCGCTTACACCTCGCGATGAAGCTCAACGGCTCTGGTCGCATTACGAATCCGTCACCAACGATCTCTCACTCTCGCTAACAGAACAATTGCGTCTGATCTTAGCGCCGACCATGGCCACCAAGCTGCGCGGCGATTTCCGGACAGGAAAGCGACTTAATATTAAGCGCATCATTCCATATATTGCCTCGCAATACAAGCGAGACAAGATTTGGATGCGACGGTCAATTCCTTCGAAGCGCAACTACCAAATCATGCTTTCTGTCGACGACAGTAAGTCTATGTTAGAGAGTGGAAGTGGTCAATTGGCATTCGAAACGCTTGCACTTGTCGCCAAGAGTCTTAGTATGCTTGAAGCTGGAGATCTATGCGTCCTTGGATTCGGAAACGAAGATCACGTTAGAGTCGCACATGAGTTCGGCAAGCCGTTCTCCTCGGAGGCTGGCACACAGGTGTTCCAGCACTTCAGCTACCAGCAGACAGGTACAAACGTTCGGAAGTTGATCGCCGATTCCATCGCTCTGTTCCGCGAAGCTCGCTGGAAGCAATCGCCTGGCTCGGGCAATGCTGATCTTTGGCAACTGGAGCTCATTATCTCCGACGGTATTTGTGAAGACCATGAGACTATCCAGCGTCTTGTGCGGCAGGCTCAGGAAGAGCGTATCATGATTGTGTTCATCATTGTCGATGCTGTCAAGGGTAGCTCCATCTTGGATCTCACCCAGGCAAGCTTTGAGCCTGATACGGAGAGTGGCACTGGGGAGATGAAGTTGAAGATGAAGAGATATCTAGAAGGTTTCCCGTTCCCTTACTACTTGGTTGTGCGCGACGTTCGGGAGTTACCCGCTGTTTTGGCTACGGCGTTGAAGCAATGGTTTGCGGAGGTTGTTGATGTTTCTTCCTAAAAAGTTGCACATTGATGTTTTGGTTTTGGTTATAGAAAAGAGCGTTCCTTTTGTTACATGTATATATTCTTCGTGTATGTGAATACTTGATATAAATTAAAATCTCATTTACTTTCAAAGCACCTCTGAACAAAATCGGGTAGTACCCATAAATCCAAACTCCTATTCTTCCATGCGAATTGATTTGTACATATACAACGTTGGTATCCGAGTTGAGAGACACAGAATGAAATGCATATTTTACCAGCCATACTTCGACCCAGCCTCCTTCTTGTTCCTTCGCCCAGATGCAAAACTCTCCTCCAAAGCTTCCCGCTGAGAACTCGCCGCATTGACCAGCTGTTGCAGCGTGTGCTTTCCAGGAGCAATGGCGCGAACCGGGTTGTGCTGAAGCGCCGCCATATCGGTCTGGTGTGCCATCTCCTGGTTGGCAATGTACTCCTTGTCGGTGTTGAAATGAAGGATCCGCGATTTCGAGGCGTCCGCATTGCGACCAAAGAGGTGCCGTCGCTGAGACCGCGAAAGGTTCAGATCATCCGCAATATTATCCAACGTCTGCGCCGTCGCCGGCTCCGACGACACAGCTGGAGCCTGAGGCTCACGTTCTACCTCCGGACCGGCCTGCGGTGCATCCTTGTCCGCAGTATACACCAACGGCTCATACGCCGCGCTCTGCGCCTGAAGACCCGGAGCGACGCTCGTGGCGGACTCACTCGACCCGAGCGAGAAAAGACTCACTTTCGGTTTCGGCGCAGGAGGCTGCACAGGAGCAGAAGCAGCAGTAGCAGCAGCAGGCCTAGGCTGTTCCGAGACCGGCTCCTGTGCAGCAGTCTCGACCGGTTTCGACGAAACAACAACTTTCTTCTTCTTCTGCGTCCCCCGCCCAACAGACAACGGCTTAAACATCATCGGGTTCCCTTTCAACTTCACCTCCTCCGGCTTCTTCATCTGCAGCCCACCGTCGCCAGCCTCCTCCCTCAAACTCCCAGCCTTGGGAATCGTCCCATCATCATCACCACCAGGAGCACTACTCGAACCCGCCGCCTGTTCCATAGCCCACTCATTCCGGCTCTCCTCATCCAATCCGCGATCAAACCCCGGCGCAGCCCCCGTCTTCAAACTAAACACCTTCCGCCCCGCCGCAGCAGCACCCTTCTTCTCCGCCGCCGCCGCAGCAGCGGGCGCAGCCCTCTTCGGCGCAGGCAAAAACGAATTGAACCCCGCGAACGCACCCCCACCGCCTATCCTTGCTTTCTTCCGCGCGGGCCCATCCTCGTTGTTGTCATTGGTATCTTCGGGTTTGAGGTCCAGCGCGACGCGGATCTTGCGCGGGTTGCTGCTATCGACGAGTTTGGGTTTTGCGGCGGCGGCGGCGGCGGTGGTCGGTTTTGTGCTTGTGCTTGTGGTGGTTGGCTTTGTGGTGGTTTCGGGTTCGGAGTCGGAGGCTTCCGAGTCGGAATAGGATACTAGTGCCATCCTTTTTTGATTTTCTGGGGTTGTTGGATTGGAGTGGAGGGTGGAGGTTGATGGGAGTTAAAAGTAAAATAAAGTAAGTAAAAGTAAATTGATGATGGCGATGATGAAAGGCGGAAGGATGTTGAGATATCGGGGTTCTAGTACCGTATTGGCTGTACTGCACGGGCCATTGTATTTTAAGGTATTGACGAGGATCGATTGCGGAACCCTAATTTATGGATGTTGGCTGCGAAGGCTTGGGCTTTGGAATGGGGGGGTTTTCCTTCAAGAAAGAGTCTTATTTGTCTATTACTGGGATTGATAAGGCTGGTTTCATTTGGTTTCTATGAGGGTGCTTGAGAATTGCATGGTGAAGTTACTGATATCTTGGTTGAGCTTGAATACCTTGGTAATCGTATGCTATCTCCAAGGCATATCCTCATGATGTACAGAGTATGATCTATCGTAAGGCATACATTCATCTAGGCCAGAACTGACAAACGAGGAAAATAAAGAAATAAAGAGGAACAAAGCAGAACAGCAACGGATATAACCACTGCAACTGCAGTCTGATCATACAGTTACCCAAACCAAGACTAGCCACACAATATCCATCCATAAAATACTCAAACCAGGCCAAGCCAATCTCAGTCCCGGCAGACCCCTAAGTTACTTAAGACTCAAATCCCGAAACCGAGAAAAACACAAGTGCCAGACAAGAAATGACATCATCCAAGTCAGTCCCGTCTCAGCACTGATGATCAGATAAGATAAGAAAAAAAAAGCCCCCCCCCCCCCCCCGGCTTACTCATCTCTTTTCCATCTGACATTTCAGCGGCCTGCATGTTTATTACATACATCGTTCCTCCATATATTTCATTTCCCTCCCTTAATCCATCCTACTTTTCAAACAAAAGAACCATGCCATAAACGAATCCTCACCACCATACACCCTCAAAAAAAATTCACACAATGGACCCCCCAGAACCACAACCCGACAAGCAACCCAAACCAGGCAAATTCCGCTTCAAATCGTCAAAAGCCAAGTGCAGTTCGCGACGAGACGAATCCAGCTCCTCCCACCACCATCACAGACACACCTCCCACCGCCACCGATCCAGACGCCATCATCGCCGGCGCTCGGCTTCCCCCGACCACGAACAGCAACCAGGCCTCAACGCCGACGCAGCCTTCCGGGAATCTCTGTTCGATGCGCTGGGCGACGACGAAGGCGCCGCGTATTGGGAATCGGTGTATGGACAGCCGATTCATAATTATGCGGTGCCGAATGTACCCAGGGGCCCTAATGGGGAGCTGGAGCAGATGGATGAGGAGGAATATGCCAGTTATGTGCGGACGAAGATGTGGGAGCGCACCAGGGAGGGGATGCTTGCTGAGCAGGAGCGGTTGAGGGCGGAGAAGGCGAGGCAGAAGAGACGGGAGGAGAGGAGGGAGGAGGATGTTCGAGAGAAGATGCGGTTTGAGAGAGCGATGGAGGAGAGCTTGCGGCGGGGGAAGGAGAGACGGAGGGTTAAGGCTTGGGGGCGCATTTGGGAGGAGTATGTCCGGTCCTGGGGGGAGGTTGATCGGACGGTTGAGCAGGTTAGGGATACTGGCGGTGGTGGTGGTGGCGGGGAGGGGACTAGGCTGAGGAATTTGATCTTCTGGCCGGTTGAGTCCGGGAAGAGAGCGGATGTAAGTAGGGAGACGGTTGAGGAGTTTATGCGCCATGCACCGGGGGAGGATCTGTTGGCGGTTTTGAAGGCTGAGCGGGTGAGATGGCATCCCGATAAGATTCAGCATCGGTACGGGGCTTTGGGCATTGACGAGGTGGTTATGCGCAGTGTTACTGAGGTTTTTCAGATCATTGATCGTCTATGGAGTGAGGTGAAGGAAAAGCAGTCGTGAGCTGGTGTTGCTGTCTTGATTGGTGTTAAGACTTGCATTATGATGGCGTTCTGTGTTTATATGTGATACCCTGATTGAGAATTGGACGCATGTCTTTGGACCTTACTACTACTATTCAGGTTGCGCCTGTTCATGGCATTCATGACAACGCATAACTGGCATTGAACTGATATCAAGCTCCAAATTCGCATACTTCATCAACGGTAGGACTCGTGAAACTTTTGTTCGTCACAATATATTGGAATCTCCAAGTAACAACACGGCTATGCAATCACGTAGAAACAGAACACCATACTCAAATTTTTTTGGGGGGGTTTTCTTTCTTTTTCCTGAATATCTTCCCTCACCACCTCTTAGAACCTCGAGTATCTCTGCTTGTTCCGGTAGACGGTGAACCCAAAGTAGCAGCCCACAACAGCAGCAATGAACAGAACAGTCTTGAACAGGAACCCGCTCCAGCTTCCCTTTCTCTTCTTGGTCTTCTTCACGCGACCGCTGTCTGTGTTGGGTCCACGGCTAGAGCGGCTGGAAGGTCCAACGCTGTAAAGGTTCTGTGATTTCACCGAGACGATGTCCTGGTTGTCGCTCAGTTCACCGGTCTCGCCCGAGAAGCCCAGGTACGCGACGGACGGGATAGCGATGTTAGTCTCGGGTGCGGTCAGGGTGAAGCAGTTGGTCCAGCTGTCCTCAGACTTGTACTGCAAGTCGAGAGTCAACGACTTGTCCTGAAAGTACGTCAAACGGGCCTTGGTGGGGATCGAAGCGCCTCGCAGACCACGGGCCTAATCTTATTAGCACACATCTGCGTGATTCTGGTCTTAATCACTTACGGAACAACCAGCCAATTCATTGGCCTTGCCGTCATGCGCCTGGTCGTAGCTAGTTTGTCCGTCGCCCATCATAGCCATCACGTAAGGGAACGAGGTGCCGGGACGGTTATTCTTGTAGGTGTCGAAGAAGATACCGAGACCCTCGAAGTTATCCGTTGATCCAAAAACGGGACCCTGCGTGGCGCGCTGCTTGGTGAGCCACATGGCAAAGCCATCGCCGTGCAGATTACCATTTCCATGAAGCTTGAATTCGAGCTCGATCTACACACTTGTCAGAACCGATTCTCGATCATGATAGCCGACGGCATGAACTGACCTCCCAGTTGGTCGCAGTAAGGGGAACCCGGGAGAAGATCCATCCCTGCTGCGAGGGTCGATCGGCCGTAAGACGGATGTATCTGCCATTGTTCAGCCCTGGCTCCTCTGAGACCGCAGTGGGGGTGGGGTTGAGTACTTGTCTGCGCGGATTATCGTGTCACCACCAAAATCGAACCAGCGGCTTTGGAAGTCTGAATCCAGGTAGGGCTGTCATTACGTTAACAGGGCTGTGTCTAGAGCGCGGAGATCGACCTAGTCGAAGTTGCTGTGAATGATTTATAGGATGGAACCCACCGGAGCGAGACTGTGAGTGCGAAGCTATTAACCCGGTTAGTTAGTGCGCGATCGTCATACGGTCGAGTGGGTGTGCGGGCGTACTGGGATGCTCTTGATGTTCTCGTCACCGTCGTAAGCATTGGCCACTGGCATAGTCGCCAGGCCGGCAAGACACAGGAGAGAAGAAAGCCGCGGGAGCAGCATTGTGAGGCAGGAATTGATAATGGGCTAGAACAGGTTGCAGAGACAAACGACCGTGAAAGCAGGTAGATTCTGATAGTTATGAACGACAGACTGCAGCTAACAAAATTGGGTTGCTCTCCACCAGCAAGGCGTAGTTCAATGTCACCGGGACATACACAAGCTCCGAGCGCAATTGCAGGAGACGGAGGACAAGGTCAATCGAACGGTAGGTCGACGACCGGAGAATAATAGGGAGGAATGTCAAAAAGAGAACGAAGGAGTGAAGAACGGAATGGAAGAAGAGCGGTGCCGAAGCAAACTGTCAGAAAGGAATACAATGTAGACTGGTCAGAGATCGACGTCAGTAAACATGCAAACAAGTGTCCACATCGCAACTGTGGCGCAGTCAGCCCCCGGACGGACGTGCACCAGCCACAGGTCGGATATCGCCCGCGGACTTTGAGGTTCAGATCCTGTGGCCGGCCCGTGACCTCAACATTTACTGTATCGCTGATTTACCTGTCCTGCCAAACGTTTTAATTCCGCCACTCTTCCCTTCGTCTCACATCTCTACCCATCACCACCATGGCCCTCTTCGGTTCCGGCTCCAACAATGCTTCTGGCAACCCCCAGGAGGTCAAGACTGCCATCATCAAGCAGCTCCAGCAAGAGGCTGCCATGGCCAATGCTCGGAATCTGATCGGAGTATGCCCACATTGTCCTTGCGGCCAGCGTCTAGTTTCTGACAACAGTATAGAAAGTGAATGAGCACTGCTTCGACGCCTGCATTCCCGCCCCCGGCTCCTCCATCACCTCCAAGGAAGAGACCTGCCTCTCTCAGTGCATGGAGAAGTACATCTCCTTCTGGAACACCGCCAGCCGTACCTACGTCTCCCGTGTCTCCCGCGAAAGCAAGCGTCTCGGCGGTGCTGAGAACCTCGCCATGATGGCCACCCCTACCGACACCGGTCTGTAACTTAGCGTCGGAGTTTCTAGGAAAATGGAAGCATTCTATAGATGGTCGTCGGAAGCGCGATCGATTTCTCCAGTTTTTGTTATGGACAGCAGCCTAGGTCTCCCGCAAATTTTCTTGTCACCCTTTCTCTCCTTTCATGATTTGGGGGATGTATTGTTGGAATGGTGTACGATACCGGCGCACGTTTTGTGGTAGATTAGGAGTCCCCTATCCGACGAGTTGGGCGGCAACGGCAGCGGATCCGTGGTGGCAGACAGGCGTCCACAGGTAGCCTGTCTGGAGTATACTGGTAGATGCGGTATGCACCGATCCATAGCCTACTTTTATTGCATTGGAAAGATATGTACATTATACAGGTCTCCAAAAAAAAGAACTGAACGAAGCAACTAAGTAGCATCCCAATACTTGCAACTATTATCAAACCATGACACGAGAAACAAAACAGTCCAGTCGATGCCAACGATCGACTCGGCGGAAGACCCCGGAGTAGAACCAACCCCGAAAGCACCTGATCCTTATTCATAACCAAACACAAGTACTGGAGATTCAGTTGCCTCGATGCTCGTGAAAGCGATCCATATCCATGGAGGCCGAGGTACGTGGAATGCGGAAGCGCGGGAAGCCCGCGCCAGATATACAAAGGTAGATGCTCCTAAAAACGATGAAACAGAGAAATCCAAAGGTCAAGTCGGCCAGCGATCATCCAGACAATCGAACCGATCGAGAAGACAATGTGTAAGGGTAATAGCATGGTTGTTTTTTCACTGCTGCTATTTCTGTGGCCCAGTCAACAGGGCGATAAGATAAGGCGTCACCCCCGCGTCTTTGCGGCGAGGTCGTGCATTGCCTTTACTCTAGACAGCTATGGTGAAATGATCATTTCATCATGACTCGTAGAAAAGTTAGAAGTCGGGGAACAAATGGCCGTGACTAGATTAAATTGGGATCGTCAGTAATGCGGAATAAATACACCGAGCAGGTGGCACATACAGGTCTTCACCGCCTTGACCGTAGGCTTCCTGTTCTTCCGGATAGCGGTCATACTGGCTTGCATCACCTTGTCCTCCCCGGATCGGTGGTACATAGGGAGCATCGATGTCTTTCCTGGCCAGCCGGTCCCAGGTGACCTCGGCGAACCACGGATGATTCTTGACGTCTTCCGGACCACCGTGTAAGTTACCCAGCCGCTTGGTGAGGTCTGCCGTGATCAGTTGCGAAAGTAGATCCACAGCATCTGGGTGTAGGTACGGTGGGTATTTTACCCGACCCCGGAGAATGTTCTCATAGATCTTGACCGGCGATCCGCTGTCCCAGAAGGGTGTGAAGCCACACAGCATTTCGAAGATCAGGATTCCAAGGGACCACCTTTAACCATGTCAGCGTGGCTCCCTCTAGGCGGGCTCCCAACAGGGGATCGGAAAGGAAGACTTACCAGTCCACCGACTTGTTGTAACCCTTGGAAGAAACAACTTCGGGAGCCAAATAATCGGGTGTGCCACACAGGGTCCAGGTGATGTCAGGCACTTCCTTTGCAAAACCAAAGTCGGTGATCTTCAGGTGGCCATGCCGGTCGAGAAGTAAGTTCTCCGGCTTCAGGTCTCGATAGATAATCTGGTGAGTGTGCAGGTATTCCAGCGCAAGAGTGACTTCCGCGGCGTAGAACTTGGCCACGGGATTAGGGAATCGCTAGACGGGGACCCCGCGGATCAGCGCACATGCTGGAGCAACGAAGACGGGGAGGATCACCCACCTGAGACTTGCGAAGCAGACTGAAGAGTTCACCTCCCTCGACAAAGTCCATGACCATGTACAGATTGCGCGAATCCTGCCATGTGCCCCACAAGGTGATCAAGAACGGATGCCTGACGCGATTGAGCATTCGTCGTTCGTCATTAGTGTGCTCGATCTGCTTCATCTTGACCACCTGGGCCTTCTTCAAGACTTTGATGGCATAGAAGCGGTGGTTGTGCTTCGACTGCACCAGATGGACTCGACCAAAGCTACCGGTGCCCAACGTGCGCTGGAGACTGAAATCCTCGAGAGAGTACTTGCCCTTGGTGGTTCGGGTCTGCGATTGTTGAGAACCGCCGCCGACCGACTGGCCGCTCTGATGGGACGAGTGAATTATGTTCTGTATACTGGCGACATTATGCGAGTTGGTGTGGTGGTGACCATGGTGATGGTGGGCCGAGGGAGATTGCGTCACGGCGGATTGCATGGAGGATGGTTGACCCTCGGGGTGGCTTCGATTAGTGCCTGAAGAGCGATTGTGATGATCGTGGGACGATTGGTGAGGTTGCGCAGAGGTATAAGCAGCGTCGGGGGAAGCGGCAGTAGTAGTGGGATGGGATTGGTGGCTGTGGTGATGCTGGTTTGGTGACGTCTGCGTCTGGGCCGCGGTGGGTGACGAACCGGCTTCAAGCTCTTTGCTGAGGGTCTGCGAATCCTTGGTCCGCCGCTTCTTCAATAAGCCTCCTAAGCTCGGCATGGAGAACTAAAATAAAAATAAAAAAATAAAAATAAAATTATGACCTGACTGTGAGATCAGGTAAAAGAAAAAACAAATTGAGGCAAAGAGTTCAAGAAAAAAAAAGAATCAAAATGAAACCCCAAAAATTTCGATGGGGTTTTTGGTGAGATTCACGCAAAATGGGTAAAAGGACAAAGAGGGTTCAAAAGACAAGCTCAACCCCTCTTTCGACCTTCCCTTATTTTTCTTAATTTTTTATTTTTTGGCTTCCTTGCGAAGGAGGGGAAAAGCCGCCAGCAACGAAACGTTACGCCTCTGTTTTTTTGTACGGGTTCCGAGCTGCGGATATCACGGGGGGGGGGGAGGGAACTTGGCCGTAGCTACCGAGAAGCGGTCAACCCCCAAGCTTGCACTGGGAATCCAAACAGATTTCGAGACGAATTGGTGTCAAACGGTTCTAGTGGTTGCGTTTCGTCGTCGTTCGGTGTTGGTTTGATTTGCTTCTTATCGTTCCAACCCGGTGAAACTTTCAGCCAAGACACGAGAATCGAGGGAGGGGAAATTGAAACGTCAACGTTCCGTAGGGGAAAAGAGGAAGAGTAAATGATTCGAGATGCAGTTAATTTAGTTTGGTTGTTTGGGCGGAGAGCAAAATTGACCCAGAAGAGCAAAGCGCGGGGGGGGAGGCGATTTTAATTTATCGGAAGTGAACTTGTCTACTCCTACTAGTAGTAGTAGCATCTGGTCTCCTCTCTTCTCTCTCTCTCTCTCTCTCTCTCTTCTCACTCTACGTCTCTTGCTTGTCTCTCTATACCTAATCCGTATCATCTTACATACATCTGGCGATCAATGCTTTTCCTTTTCTTTTCTCTTCTTTTTTTTTGTTTTTTGACTAACATGAGTGATGCATGGAAACCCCTCCCACACACAATCACCTCTTTAACGATGAGAAAAGCAAATCTCAGATCAGCCCCGCTTTTTTGCTTTTTATCCAACTCGAAAAGCGGAGTTTAAAATAAGAAGAACGGACAGGAAAAGAAACCCCTCTCAGTAGACGGATGTTTCATCAACCATCCCCAAAAACTGTGTTGCATTAGTCGTCGAGAATCACGACACCCGGGGTTGACCACTCGGAAGAGATCCAATGAACGCTGCGTTCCCTTTGTTGGGGGGTCATTCATATCCATTTCCCATGAACGGAAGTCAAAATCAGAGACGGAGAATCATCGATAACCAGAGATCATGAATCATCAAGATCACGGTGGATAAGAGAGACCCTCAAGCTTTCCGCTCCCCGGCCCTATGAGATCACCACTTTTCTCGTACCCGATGGAGCGCTTGGACAGAGTGCAGAGTATAATACTAGTACCTCCTCCTCGTAAGTCGACCAGTGTCGTATCAAACCCACGACGCGGCAGAGAACTGCCCATCGTGTTGGATACCTAATTCATGGTCAGACCATATCCTCCTCCATACTATACTAGTATACGTAGAACCGCGTGCCCGTCCATCGGCGACGAACAAATTGGGCACCGTTCAGGAAGTACTAACCAGATGGGACTAGTCCTGCATCGTGACCTCATCATTCACGGACAAGTGGATCAGCGGAACGCCCCGCTCGCTTTTCGGAGATTTCCCTTCTCGGCCGTTGCCTCAAATTACCTACTGGTCGTGCTATACGTAGCAGTACTAAGGTTCGTCGGAGCTTGCGTAGTGTCAAACTAAGTAGCCCGTAACAAGTGTCTGCAAACGAAAGAAGCCAGATATGGACAAAATACATAATATTGAATGTCGCTCTTTCACAAGCGGGGTATGGTATTCCTTCTGAAGGAGCTACGAAAGGTTACGCCGGTCAGGTCTGGCCTTGGATCGTGTCTGGGGTATTGCCTGTCCCTATGCAGCACATGATATATCGTGTCACAATATCAATCGTCTCGACATCGCCCTCAAGAGGCCCCCAATCGAAGTGGGAAAATAGGCTAAATCCGATAATGCGCCATGTTCTTCTTAATCTCATCCACAATCTCCACGGCTTCCAGTGCGTTCCGCGCCTCAAAGTCATATCGCTTCTGCTCGTTCGCATCGTTGCCGCGAAGCACGACCACCCGGAAGTTCTTGGGATGGCGACGGCTCACCTTGCATCCAACAACGTCGTTGAAACTAATCGACCGGGTCTTGGTGTCCGATCCCGTCTTCGCAGTATCCCCCGGCATAATATGCATGTAGTCATTGTCAAACGTGAGGATCTTGTGGTTCGAGGCGGTGAAAGACATGGATTGCTTGCGGAACACGTGGTACCGACGGTAGTAGCCCCCAATGAGGTCCTGCTGCTGCGCCAGCGGATGTAACATACGCGGTCCACCCTTCTTCCCTTTCTTGCTCGACGGCACGGTGCCGCTGTCAATTTGAAGCGGTGCATTGGGCGAAGAGCTGCCCGGAGAGCCAGTCAAAGACTGCGGCCCGAAGCGCCGACGCACGAGATCCAGCTCGGTAAGGTTTCCCAGGGCTTCGACGGTGCGGTCTAAGGGTGCAATCGTATTGGATCCCATCACCTTCAGGAGGTAATTTCCCTTATCCAAGCCCCAGCGTTTACAGACCGAATCCAAGATCTCCGCGATGTAGCTGTCGGTGGACGTGTTGAGAGTAGTGGCCTGCGTAGAGCCCTCGATATTGACAAACCGGATCTTCAGGGTCTTTGAGACCCCCAGGCGCGGCGTGGCATGCGACGTTGGCACCGCAGGCCGATCGGCCGGTGTGAGCGTATTGTCATTCAGGGCCGACGAAAACGGTTGCCCTAAGATCGGATTGAGCCGGGGCGCTTTGTTTTGAGAAGCTGGTTGGGGGGAGGGAACATTGAGAGCGGAAGCTGCATCATTGGTGTCTTCAGGAGCAACTGCTTGGCTCTCCATTGGGAACTGGCGCTCATTCTCTTCAAACTCACTATCGGAGGCTTCCACCAGGGCAAATTCATCATACTGTTTCCCTCTGCCTCGACCGCGTGCCCCAGCTGCTCGATTGTTATTCGACGTAAAATCCGTAATATGTGACGCTCGTCCTAAAGCGGGAAAGTCGTATTCCACTTCACCGTCCTCCACCATTCGAAGCGCCCACCGGTTAACCGTCAATTTGTTACGTTCAATGGCGGGTTGGCGACCTTCTTCCGAGTATCGCCAGAGCGCTAAACCGATCGCCTCAACAACAGTGACGGGGGCTGGTTGCTCCGCGAGTTTAGATTCCCGGGCAATAGGAAGGTCGATCGGCTCGTCTGGGTCAGAAGAAAACGGTAGGTATAACTTGATATTCAATGCATCGTTAAGACCTTTACCCGAGAGCACCGCAAATTTCTCGACTGGATTGGTCGGGGCGCGTTTGCGCGCGTTGAGTGCCTTCGACAGCAGACTAACAGGTTGTACTGTGCTAATAGGCCGCGGCGGAGGCAAATCTTGCAATTCGGGGGCCGGTGTTTTGGCCTTCCTAGGAGATGCCGTTTGAGATCCTGTTCCATTCGGCAACTTGTGCATCATCATAGGTGACGATGAATTCAAGCTGCCAGTGATACCGACGCCTACCAGGAGTGATGCAGAACCAGCCGTGGCATCGAAGTCCGACGAAAGTGCCGAGTCCTCGGACTCAGCTCCTGAATCCTCTGGATGCTCATCTAGTCCTCCAAGATCCCTATTTCCCGCTCCCCTGCGCCTGTGACTAGCCAACTCTATAACCTGATCCTGACCAGAAAACTGAATCTGCTTCCGTGAGGCCAGGGAGCCCATTTCATTGTCTGACGACATGTCGCTGCTGGCGGTAGTAGTTGTATCTCGCCGTGGCCGCTCGTTCACACTGACAGCGGTTCCTAGCGATCCCGTGCGGTAATGCATGCCCATTGTGGGGTGAGAAGGAGAAGTGACCATAACTTGTGGACCTTCTTGACGATCTATGGACCGTATTGGAGAGGACCCGGCTCGTGTCCGTATTGGCAGTTTAGGAAATTTGATCTGTTGGGAGGCTCTACAACGGATTAGCACTGGAATGCAGTCTGAGAATAGAAAGCCTTCAAATCACTAGCATCGACCAACCTTTGACTATCCACATCATCGTCGCTCTCATCACTCAGATCACTGCTGTCATCCTCTTCCGCATCTCTTTGTTTATAAGAATCGTTTTGCTGCCGCTCCTTTCGATGAGTTCTTTTCCCAGCGCGTCCATGAGGTCGGCGTCCTATCACCTCCGTAGAGCTTTTGCCCGTCACCATGCCCCCTTCATCTTCCTCACCATCCTCCCCCAAACCAAGTCTCTGGGCTTCGTTCGCATCCCTGGAAACACCCAGTTGATAATACTCCGAGGTAACCGCAGCGGTGGTGGGAATCGGTGGGGAATATGTCCGACGAATATGGGCTGCTACGCTTTGTGCGCTGGGGTTTGTGGAAGCTGATGACCAGCCCGCCGCGCGAAATCCAGGAGTATTGAGCACCGAGTTGTTCACGTTGATGAGTCTGTCGCCTATTCCGTCTTTTATCGTGGACAGATAAGAGGTGCGCAGTTGCCATATCGTAAAACTACCATTCTTTTAGCACTGGATTCATAGTCGGAAGGGCGATCGCGGGGAAAGTGGCGGGAGCAGTTGCGAGGTGCACACCACTAGACATACTCTTCATTGTGAAGGAGAGACATCTTCCCACGGTTATGAGCAAATGTTGAGACGTTATAGATATCGAACTTTGGTAGCGATCGGGAATATCGTAGATTTAAGGCAGACACCGTGACGTCGCTGGTGGTACTCGTCTGGGCATGATTCTAACTACTGCGTTGAGAGCGAATAGATGCGCTGACCGTGGTCAGCAACAGAGTGATCAAATGAAGGTTCGTTCTCAACCAGGACCAGCCCGATGTAGAGTAAAGGGAAGATAGAATCAGAAAGAGACAGTAAGGTCGTGAAGGGAGTTGGTGGAGGTTTCGTGCTGAGTAGCGGAGGAAGAGCAGCAAATTGCGGGTTCTCCCAAGACAATCTCCGCAGATCAGCCAAGAAACATGGATGGAGATAATGCGCCGCCGATCCTCCGTAGATTATTTGTTTGGCTTATTTCGATCAACTGCCACATTATTGGCACAGAATGATGCTTTTTGGTTCGACATAGTCATCGTTCAATATAATACTAGTACAAGTACCTAACTAATACCCATTACAGACATTGCCCATTCCCCCCCGCTGCAGTTTCCAGAAGGAAGGAGAGATCTATATCACCAAACGTCCACGATCAAAGAGTGAAACGTGCTAAGTCTTAGTTTTTCGACCTCTCCCTTTCTTCGGCTTCTCGTCGTCATCAATAAAATCATCGTCGGCGGCCTTCTTAGCCTTCTTCCCTTTGCCTGAGCCACCCTTCGCCCCAGATTTCGCCGCAGACTTCGCAGCAGATTTCTTCGGTACGCGGACATATTTGTCCTTCTTCAGGTCCAGTTCTTCGCTTTCATCGTCCTCTTTGGTATCATCCTCGAGCACTTCATCGTCCGACTCATCGATAGCATCTTCGATATCGGGCTTCTCCTTTGGCATCTTCTTTGGCGCAGCGACGCTGCTGGCCTTCATGAATGGAAGTGGATGCGAGCGCTGATTATAGAGACGGGTGAATGTCGCTTTTGTCTGTGTATCTAGCTTCACCATCGATTGGTCCATAGGGCCAAGGCCGAGCTCGACCAGGGCATCCCAGTCGTCCCGGGTGAGGAAATAACTGTCCATGAAATCAATGACGTCCTCAACACCTTCTTTTCCATCGGTCATCAACCGGCGAACGAGCTTGTCCCAGATGAGGGGTAGATACTGTTGTCTGATTTCGTCACGGTCCCCAGAGGCACGAAGGCGCATGTGGCCCTGGATTTCTTTGGTGCTACGCCAAAGTTTCCCTGTAGTTATTCTGTTAGCAACATAGATATATATGGGGTTGAAGGATACGTACCTTGTTTGCTGTTCTGACCTAGCCAACTAGTGAAACCAGCTCGCTCGGTCATATTGCCATAAGTGAAACTGGCGGGTCGAACAAAGCTGAAGACAGCATGGGTTGGCATCAGACTCCATTGCTGCTGTGTTCCATGGATCATTTTGTCGACCAGGTCACCGTCACTAATGCTTGACGCGGCGTTGTCCGCCAACTCGAGCAACTTCAACTTTTGCTCTTTGCCTTGATAATTATTAGACAAGGCGGGCCTTGTTCTCAAGTAGTTCTCTTGAAGCATCAAGTAGCTGAACTCGTGATCATTGAAATAAAGTTCGATCTTGTCGTTTAACGTTGCTTTGGAACTTGGAGAGAACATCTGAGCGCTGAGAATTTTGGAAACAATATCCCAGGGCTTTAGGATCACATGCTTTTCCCAAGCCTTGGACATCTCCCGTCCCTTCTCAAAGTTCAGATTTTGTTGATCCAGCTTCACGGTCGACAGCATGTTAATAACTTGACGAATGTCGGCATGCGTTCCTTCGATGAGACTGTCAAGAACAGGGGGTGGGATCTTCAGACCCTCTCGGAAACAGATCGTGGAAAGTCTGGCTCTGATCTGCTCCGCAGTCGGACGTCGAAAGGGTAGCTCATACGTGACGTGATCGAAGGGCTTCATTTTTGGAAGCCTGCGTTCGTTACATATGAGGATGAGTGGGATGTGAGTTTTCTTTGCAATAGCAGCCAACGCCCCAACACCGCCTCGGTCTCCAGCTGACATCCCATCTACCTCATCCATGATCAATACCATATTCTTCCTCTCACTGTGCACCTTTTGGCCGTCAGCAGCAAAATAACCTTGCAGGGACGTTGTATCCAAGACACCCAAAAGACCGGTTTCAACGAGTTTCTTGCTCCTCGTATCACTGGCATTAGTTTCGACAATATCGTAGCCTTCCAGCTTCGCCACAAGATGTGCTGCGGTCGTCTTACCGATTCCTGGGGGGCCGTGGATCATGACTGCGCGGTAAATTCCAGAACCATCCTTACCAGGTTTCGAGAAGTTCCCCTTAGCATTCTTGTGCCAATCTCGAAGCCAACTTTGAAGTTTATCAACAGAAGTTTTATTGCCACAAATCATGTTCATTGACGTTGGTGCGTACTTTGTGGTCCAGAGCTCATCCTCAGGCCTGGGACCTTGAGAGTTCGATGGCGTCTGGGATCCCACGGATGCCTTAGCTGCCGCCATACTAGCAGCCTTCGCCTTGCGCTTCTCTTCCTGTTCAATTTCAGCCGCCATGGCTCGAATTTTCTTTTCTTCTGCCTTCCTCTTTTCTTCATGCTTTTCGGCGGCTTTTCCGTCACCACCGTTGGCTGGCAGTCTTCGGATGAGTTCGAAGAGACCTTCCTCATTGATTGTTTTCAGGTTATGATCCCTGATCGTCTTAAGCTTCTTGGGACCGGCATCACCTCCGAGGACAACATAACTTGTCTTTGAACTTGGAGCACCAGTAACTTTGCCACCGTATTGTTTCACTAGGTTCTGTCCTTCTTCACGGCCTAAAGTGTCAAGGACACCCGTGAAAACAAAAGACAACCCTGCAAGACAGTTTTCAGCCCCGACAGGCATTTCAGCGGTTCCGGCTGCTGCGGGAGAGCGCGTTCGTGCGGCGAAAGGGTTAAACTTCTTTTTGTCGCCAGATTCGGGTGGGGGTGAGGGTGGCCGGACAGTTGGGATACTGTCAAAGATGTTCTGGATTTCCTTGCTTTCGGGCTGGTCTTTCTTAGAAGGAGACGCCTTTGGTTTCTTAGGCGCACGAGCTGCTGACGATGTTTTCGAATTTGAGCTACCCTTCTTAGGGCTTTCCTGGGGTTCATCGCCCTCCTCCTTACCCAGTGCTTCCGATTTCCGTTTTCTTCCAGGTTGTGAAGCTGCCGATTTCGTTGCTCTCCTCGGCTGTTTTGGGGCATCCTCCATAACCACATCATCATCGTCATCATCATCTGACTCTAACTTCGAGGCTGGCTTCTTACGTCCAGGTCTACTCGAAGCTGCGGTGGCCGGTTTCACTGCAAGTACCTCGAAATCGCTATCCTTTTCACTGTGCTCATCCTCAACGTATTCATCATCGCCTTTCCCTGGCCTTGCAAACTCCGTTGCAAATATGTCATCACCGCCAAGGTCTTCATCGTCTAGGACAGTCGTAGCCTTTCTCTTCGATTCGCGCGTTGGTCGCTTGGGGGTCTCCTTCTTTTCGGTCTGCTTATTCGCTCGCGGCGATTTGCTGGCTTTGGCCTCTTCAGGAATGGCGTCATCGGGAAGCTGGGTTTCCTTAGTGGGCGCCGCAGTACTGGCTTTGGCCGGCCTTCCCTTCTTCTTGCTAGAGGCGAAGTAGTCCGAGGTGGTCGTTACCTCCCCTTGCGGCACCTCGGGTTTCCTTCATAAAGATGGTCAGCAGGTGAGGCGTAGCTTTGAGCAGGTAGTTGTGCATTGCATACGGCTTTGTTGGCGCTTTAGCTTTGGGGGCTGGTGCCTTGGTCGCTTTGACATCGTCCTCATCATCACTGTCATCCACAACTTTCCTCCCGCCTACATGACTGGTTAATGAAGGCGCAAGTAAGTAGAACGGTTTAACGTCTTACGCCTTTTCCTGCCAGCAGGTTCCTAAGACAAGTTTCACATTAGTTCGATTCAACAAGGATGTAGCTTAAATGGCAGAGGCTGGGAGGTGAATTTGGCAGTAGAGCCTTCTGTACCTCTTTCTTTGCAGGCGGCTTCGCAGGAGAGGCACTAGAGCCCTGACTGCTACTCGGCTTGCCGCCAAAAAAGCTCCTGATATCAGCAGGCATGATGATTTTAAAAAGTTTCAAAGCATGCCATGAACAGACCAGTGGTGGATTGGTGATGATAGGTGCGAAATTGAAGCAACCAAGCGCTCTTAAATTAAATGACCATGATAGGCAACTAGATCGGAAAACACGACGCGCGCTGCCTTGAGCTCTTTGTCGCCGACGTGATTTAATTGGCTTACATAAGGAGCCCGCGCCTGGTCCGTGCCCCAGCTCGTTTTACCCGGTTGGGACTGGGGGAAAATCGGACTTGCAGATACGCCGATAGTCTGGAAGTCTTCATCCAACATCGCTCATTCGCTACGAAAAGGGCCTGGCATCAGATCTCACCATGGCCTCCACGATGAAGATGTTCGCGGGGCCTCAATTGGCCCTTTTCCGGCCCACCTGTATGTTGGATTTCTTTCCATAAGAATTTTTCTCTGCAGGGCCGGAAAGCTGACCGTCTCAACATTAGGTTTATCCACAACTTTTACGGCCTCTCCGCTATCACGATGCTTCTCTACGACCTCCCCGGCTCTTGACTGGCTTACTCCCAAGTTCATGGAAACGTCGAAGTCCCCCAAGGGTCGCCCACATGTTGCGACTGGCGGTTCTTCTCGCGGTACAACTGTCGTCTGGGGCGACTACGGCTTGCGTATGAAGGACCATGACCGCCGACTGCCGGCTTCGTCGCTCAAGATCGCGGAGGAAACCATTAAGAGACGGTTAAGAGGAATGAACTATACGCTCTACAAGCGTGTGAGCGCCAACATCGGTGTGTATACCAAGGGTAACGAACAGCGTATGGGTAAGGGTAAGGGAAAGTTCGACTACTGGACGGCCAAGGTCGGTGTCAGCAGAATCGTGTTTGAACTGAAGGGCGATATTCACGAGAAGGTCGCAAGGGAGGCTTTCAGATTGGCTGGCCACAAGTTGCCTGGTAAGCAGAGCTCTCGCTCTACAGCTACGCTGGTAACGGTTCCATGCTAACAACGCAATCCGGTCTAGGCCTCTGGGAGTTCTGCAAGAAGGGCGATCCCCCTGTTGTCGGCTTGACGAAGCTCGGCAACGGCGTGACTCTGGAGAGCCTTAAGCGCCCCCGCCGCAGCCCAGCCCTGGGCACGGCAAACATGTCTACGCCGCCCAGTTCGACATCGTCTAGCCCCTCTGCTTCTCAATAAATGAATCGCTTATATTCAATTTGACCGCATTAACTACATTATCTGCGCACAGCAATCGCTAAGCTCCGACGCCGGAACCAGGTCCATATCCCTGCTGTCTCCTACACCTCGCTGCTTCTGCATCGCCATATTGGGTTTCGGGCTTGAGGTCTTGTGTATATTATCATCAGCTTTTGGTTCTTTCTTGAATGTTTTATTCCCACATGTGTCGATGTCTTATACACGGAGTTAGATTGAAGGAAACCAAAGATCAACTGTACCTTTATCCACTTCTCCCATGACACCACTTTGTCCTGAGAATCTCCTTGCCCATTCGGCATCCTCATCTTCCGCGGTGGAGCTAGTATCCGGATCCAAGAGACGCATCATTTCACTCCGCGTATGTGGTGCATTTCCTTAGACTGGTCAGTTCCAATATACTCCCAATGAGATACGGTGTTCCCGCCAAGCAGAACCACCATACCACCTAATTGCCCAGTTTGCTTCGCCGGTGTCACCGTAAATTCTCGAATAGATTCATATCTTGATCATAAGTTAAACAAAAAAAAAAAAAAGCATGAAACGGAGAAAAGAAAACTCACTGGGTACTCTCACCACCCGGTTCGGTGTCCATCAGCCTAGTATCCGACATGGTCTCCAAAGCTTGATATAATATGCAGTAGAAAAGCTTCAGGATATGTTTCGGTTGGAATTGTACGTTCAAAACTGGTCCAAACTTTATAAAGCAAAGTAATTCGGCCGTGGCTGGTCCTCCCAATTTATAGAGAAATTGTATGACGTAGTCTATCATGTCCGTTCTTCGACCCGTTCCCCATGGGGAAGAACTTGGTTCACAATAACATTCTAGACTACGTAAGGCCCGAACTCAGTTCCTAGCGGAGCGCAGAAGTTCTCGTTTGCAGAAATCGCCAACTTATTTTGTTATATCCTACAAAAACGCCAGGGGAACTCGTCAAAACCAGCGTCTGTATCCCGCCGCAGAAACCATCGATGCAATGAGCGCCTTCTAATCAAGGGTGCTGTCACATATTATACAGAACAATCATAAATCGTGGATTACTAATTTTTCTTTCTTTTTCTACGGTTTAGAAGTCCATGCCCATGAGGTAACTGTGTATTGTTAGTGTGCATGCTCGGCTGTCATGTGGTCAAGGAGTCAAACCTTTCATAGATGCGCATGAATTTGGCGACGAAGGCCTCAAGGTGGAAGATTACTTTCTGTAAGGTGGGTCAGTATCCGTAAATGATTGCAGCTGTTTCGGTCAGGGACTCTTACGCTGCCTTGTGTCACTCTGTGCTCGTAGAATGCAGACCATCTAATAACGTCGGGCTTCAGGGCATCGTCTAGTTTGGCGATGAGCTTGAAGGTGAGGGTCTAGAATATAGTCAGCGTTGGCCACAACATTCTCTATCGCTTCATAGTCAGACCTTGAGGATAGTAGTCGGCGGTATGCAGTGAGTCAAGAGATCGTACAAGCGCGCCCGGACTTGTAATAGTCGAGCTGGAGACCGCTCAGCCAGGATCTCATCAGCCATAATAGAAATGAGCACCTCCCAGTCCGGAGGTGGGATCGGAGTGTTCTCCGTCACCTTCTCACTGTTGGTAGTATAGGGTCAGTCTAGAGCCAAGACTGACGGACAATACGATCATACCTCTGAGCATAGATAGCTTCGAACATGAGTAACGCGCGTCGGAGATTGCGTCCACTCTCCTTCGCTATCCTCTGATTAAGTCCAGGCGCCTCCGGCCAGCCTTCCCTCTTGCCCGCAGCGCTGAGCACAGAGCAGATCTGGTCTTCGCTTGGTGCCGCAACCCTGACCAGCAGGGTTCTGGAACGAATCGGAGCAATGATATTCGAAGTGCTATTGGCCAACAGAATGAGTCTCAGGTTGGGGCTGTATTTCTCCATAGTCCGTCTCAGAGCTGCCTGGGCGTCACGGCTCAGATGATCTGCTTCATTGATAACGACAACCTTGAACCTTTGCTTTGCGGAGAGATCGACCTGCTGTGTTTGCGCAATCTCTTTGAGCAGCTCCTGCACGACGACACGGTCATAGTTTCCGACGTCCGAAGGTGTGATTTCCAGATGGTATACAGACGATACAATGTTAAATTCAAGTTTCCGGTTACTCGTCGTCTGGAAGACTCGGGCATCGATTTTGATCTTCTCCACACCCGCACCGTACAGTTCTTTTAGCGTTGCAATTGTCCGGGTTTTTTTGCCTGCACCCGATGGTCCGTACATGAGTAGATGAGGGAAATCTCCACTCTGTGCCTGGAACAATAATATAATGTCAATTGGGGCTTTTTCTTAGCGAGAATCTGGCTCCAGGCTTTATTACCAGTGACTTCAACCGCGCGGAGAGTTCATGGTGGTACGACAGGGCATCGAGCGAACGTGGTCGCAGCTTGTCTACTAGCAAAGCCATCTTTAGCGGTCTGGTATCTGCTGTGGTGGCGTGAGGCTATCGAGTGCTTCTCACAAATGTAGAGATAGCTTAGTTTGATCGAGAGCAAGACGCGTCGGGAAGGTCGTGACACGCGAGCTTAATTGGTGGTCCGTGCACGGGTACTGATACTAAAACCGGTACAGGCTGCTAGTACCTACATAGACCATCAGCCACTCAATGTATAGATAGTGCCACAAAACTTTGCCCATTTAGGCGCTACCGCTGAGAAAAGAGTCTATGCAGCGTCATTACGGGCAGCGTTCACCCTATAAATCTGCAACAGCCTACAATTGGTGCCACCACGCAGCAAAACGTAATGTACAGATATCCATTGCTATGATACATATATGGGTATTCTTTTTGGAGAGGAGATATAACTTCCCCGTGAGCTCAGCAATCTCCCGATATGGAGAAAGGTTACGAGGGATTTTCGCCAGAGCTTCACCTGGCGCTTCACGATTGTTGTGCTGCTTGGGAAACCTCATTTCGTCGACGCCATTTCAGACTACCAGGCTTTCGACGTGGATTTGTCTATAAAGCTAGGGTGTGGTCAATCCAAGCGCTGCTGTCTCGATGGATAGAAAACAGTAATCTGCTCGTGTAATCAGTTCGTTGGTACCGGCTTGAGAACGCCGTTGTCATCATATCGCGCTTCTGTTTTGTGTCAGCAATCCGTTACACGTTGATTCTGCAGGCCAGCCGTTTCCTTACTGAAGAAGGTGTATGAGAGTGTGATGGTGTCAATGCCCTTCATTTGGGGATCTTTCGTGAAGTCCGGATCAATATAGAAGAAAACAGGCATGTCGACAGATTCACCAGCATTCAATTTCTGCTCTTCAAAGCAGAAACATTGAATCTTACTAAAGTACGGGGCAACCTGGCCTGGCGTGACGCTGTATGTTGCAACACCAATGATATCCGAAGGACCCTTGTTCGTTGCGGTATAGAAGGCAAGCGCCGTTTCACCAGGTAGGACCCGGACTTCGCGCTGTTGAGGCGTGAACTTCCACGGCAAGACATCGGAGACTGAACCATTGAACGTAATCCGGAGTCGACGAGCGTCTGTTACTGGCGTCACACGAGCTGCGGTATCGGCGTCTCCTCCACGATGAGTAAGGATGGGCTGACCGCCCCAGCCAGTCTGTTGGCAAATCTACATAATCGTCGACTTCAGCTCCTGCTGCGGATAAGCGAGCGCTTGGTGCTTTATACGCACCATTTTATATAGAGGGACGGAGCCGTATGCGAGCGCAACCGTTCCGAGAATAAGACTCGCAGTATAGTACCTAGATGCCGTCAGAAACGAGTCGCAATAGGCACAGTGCAATAATAATACAGCGTGGACGCATTCCGCTTCTGAGCTTGAGGCGTATTAAATGGTGCGGAGGCATTTTGTCCTAAAAACGAATTGCGGGAGAAGTATCTCTTCCCTGGCTCGAAACATTTCGCATTTGTAGATGTCGGTAGCCGAATACCGGTCCCCGGTAGCGTAAACCGGGCCCATGGAGAGATTATGCGACCATACATGGCGATAGAATTGATGCGTAGTCGGATGTATGCGGAGAACTCACCATGCAATATCGAAGGGCCAGTTTCTACACGTGATTTGGCCTTGGCGATCAGACGTTCTTATCGATAAGGCCGAACTATGATGCATGTCACCAACCAATTAGCAACAAATTCATTCAGTAACTGAGCCCTAAGGGACTAGTTCTATAGTGAACGGTTCTTGTGCACTTGCCTAATACGGGTGCCGCCGCTTTTGTGAGGACACCACATGAGTGCTCTTTGAACACGTATCCACTGCTCCGGCTGCTCCTGGAGCAATTACACTGGCTTCCAGTTTTCCCTCTGACTAATCTGGGAGTAGTTCATACTGCTGACTGTAACCTATCACGTGATAATACTGTGGTCTATAAACCGTGTCACACTAAACTCTTAAGGTCTATAGGACTCCTACCACCACTTTCATCAGCCCTCATAATAACCAGGGCCAAACAACTTAGCGCGAACAATATACATGATGTTCTCCTTTTTTTTTTTTTCCTTTTGGAAAAAAAATTGCAACCCTGGGTGGGACCCTGAGAGAATGGATAGAGTCAACAGCCAGAGAATACGTAGGCTAGAGTTCTTAGCCCTAGATACGTAGGATAAATTGAGCATGCATCCCCCGAGGAGCTTTCACTTCAGAACCCTTTTACTCCATCTATCCTATCAAAATTAACTTCATTCTGTGATATTACTGATTTCGCTGTCTCCATACTCCTCACACGCTCTCTTTATTCAAGATGCGGGAACGCTCGAACTCATGGAACGCTGCCTAGCAGAAAAAGAAAAGGGAGACACGTCGTAAACTGCGTGAAGATAGAGGTTATAATCCAGATACTCATCGAGAGAAGGATACTGAACGGGCCACAGATAGGGTATCGAAAAAGATAAAGTGTACAGGAAGTATACACGCAAATATAAGAAGTACACTTTTATATCTGTTCTGTATAGCTATATCTATTGACAAATATTGGTAGATTCCTTATGGAGATAAAGAATATGTATAAAGACTTTAGACTCGAAGAGGGATATCTAGCCCCAATACTCGAAGAATTTAAGCAATATATATGTTACGGACCCCGGCCTAGTGCGGCACCAACAGATAATATACTGGCTACGGTAACGATAGGAGCGGTGAATATTATCAACGGCAGAATATTACCCAAGCAATAATATCCCAGCACGTGAATATTATTGAGCATAGAATAGTATAACCACGATAATATTGAGGAACTCAATATTGGACGAGCCATAATAATAGGACCTTTCGATATTAGCACGATAAACACCGACTCACGCGTCAGTTAATAAACTCAGGCATATCCTTTGTATAGTATAACCAGAGCCCACAGACAGACACCCACGGACATCACATGACGAAGTACCAACTAAAGTACCATAAATAGTATACAGTATAGTACCCGGGATACCAGCAAGATACCACAGATAGTATACAGAATAGTATCACAAGTTAGGATATATATAAGGACACTTATTTATATACTTAGTTTAGTTCTTCGTGATCAATCTACTCAGTTACTTGATAGCTATATTCAAGATTTGTATCAGCTCAACTCATTCACACTATCTAACAATTGAGTATACGTACTCAATTGGCCTGGCCTTCTTATCTTGGACTGGTTGTCATCGCATTGTCATTACTATTCGGACCATATCAGATCACTCGTCGCCGTTGGTCTCTAGTAGATTCTAGTCAACCGAGTAAGTCGCTTCTAACCAAGATAGCTAACTGGTCGCAGAGTCCTTGGACGGATACCCGGGCGTAACATATACTTGATAAAGATTAATAATTTTGATATTAAATACAGTTAATCTAGATTAACTGTCCAATTTTTAGCTTAACTATAGTTAAATATAGAAATTCTATTAATCTAGCTATAACCTAGCGGTTAGGTATAACTGACCCTATTAATTTAACCTAACCTGGCCAAATACCAGTCTAGTTTAGATCATCCGGATTCTTATTTTTTTTGCTCTTAAACAAATTTTCTGCTTTGGAAGAAATTATCTAGAAGTATTTCTTCTGGGAAGTATCTTGCTTGTCTAAGAAACTTAAGACTATTCGCAGCAATTTTCTAGATAATAAAAATAACTGGGCCAGTATTATACAACTGACCAATAGTAACGGATATCTGACCCTATTTATCGATTTAGCGAAATCGCGACTTCGTCCGGGCGGTTTTGAGTCCCTTTAGAAGCTTTTTAACGCGTCCTATGTTTCCCTGCTTGGCGACGAACGCTAGTGCAGACCCTTGGTAGTACTGAGAGTTATATTCATAGAGGAAATCGTATAGTGTATGATAGAGACGACGGTTTGTCTGTACCGGTGCATAGACACCTTGTTGACAAGGCAGATACGACGCGATTGAAAACAGTGTCTCATTCGGCAGGCCAGTAAGGTGCATTGCTTGAGAGGGAAGTTCTCGAGAGGGGATTAAGGGGGCAATGATGGAACGGAGCCAAAGAGCCTTCGGATGGAACTTTTTAACCTTTGCAACAAAGAACTAGACCAGGGTGTTGGACAACACGGGATCTACTCTTCTCGTTAGTGACATCGAGTCGCTTGGTCCGTGGATGATCTAGACCACGGAGATCGGATTTATTTGGATTTTGTGGCCACCGACGGCCCCACAGTGCCGGTGATAATCTTGTTAGATCGCTTACAACGATGTTGCTGTCGTACCAGCTATGACAGTTTCTAATGTTGTGGTTCAGGGACTGTCAATGGTGTTAGGAGCGATTGCAGTAGGACGGTGTAGGCGACAATATGGAAAACCGTCAATACATATAAAATACACAGCGATGCATGTAGATAACTAGTAGTGGAGAAGAAAGACAAGGAATGCTAGAAAGCAGTCACAATGAGATAGGGCACTGAATAGCAGATTTCAATAAAACAGATACATTAATGGATGTGCCAACACAGCAGGTGACTCAGCGCCGATTCACAGAATAGTCTTTCTATTGGACTCTTTGTACCAGGATGCCCTTTTCTGCTCAAGCAGCTGCCGCGGTGTCTTGCCCGCTGCATTCGGCTGATCCAAACTGCCTCCAGCATTCTGCAGGACCCCAATCATTGCATCTTGCGCCTTGATACGGTCGTCTAGAGCCACATACTCATTTCCTTGTGTCCAGATATCTCTCTTCAAGAGCACTCCGCGCCCCGCTGCTTCGCATAGTGGGGTGTCTCCCTTCAGGGTTTTGGCATTGACATCAGCTCCTCTGTGAATAAGAAACTGTGCTGCCTTAACTTGTCGCAAGTTCCTTGCCATAATATGCAAGGCAGTAATGCCATTTTTATCAGGATGGTTAACGTTGGCACCATGTGCAATCAGGAGGTCTATCACATCAAGATCCGTAGGCTCACCGTATACAGACCAAAAGGCTAAGATATGCAACACAGTCTGTCCCTTGCAGTCCTGGAGGCTTGTATCTGCACCACTTTCGCATAGAAACTTAACTATACTGTATAGATGATTTCGGTCACCTGATGCGTGTGCTGCCACTGCATAATGCAAAGGCGTTTTGCCTTGATTATCCTGGACATTAATGGCGATGGGATTGCCGACCAAAAGTAGTTCGAATGTATTCAAGATTCGTTGGACGATAGCACCTTCAGGGATTATAGCTTTATCAGAATCTCCCGCGCCCGCGGCAGCCCAGTGAAGGGGTAGGCGTCCCAAACTATCACGAACAGATACCATATCTGCAGTGTCCACATCCGTCCCTCGAAGATCAAATAGCGCTTGTACTCCCTCCACATTCCAAAACATGCTTCCGTAGTGAAGGGCGGTTGTATCTCGGAAGCTAGCATGCTTTTCCTTAAAGGTGGGTCCCCCTATTCCCAGGCACTCCTGCCTTGTGTGTACATTTGCTCCTTCATCTACAAGGCGTTTCAACAATTTGTAGCCGGCCCGGGAAACAGCCAGGCCAAGAACGGTATGAAGTGGTTGCGGCTTGGCTTCAGCGATATCCTCATCCGGGCACATGGTGACATCGTGAACAGAAGCTCCTCTATCAAGGAGGATGTCAATCAATTGTTCACTCCGAGTAAGGCGCTTATCAACCCAATCAAGAGCCTCATTTTCATGATACTGGAGCTCGTCACTCAAGTTCCAGATAGACTGCGCCGCGCTAAGCAATGCAGTTTCACAGCCGGGCATGTTGGCGCCAACACTCCCCAGCGGAGGTTGACTATCCAGCAGGAAAAGTGCCGTCTCTAGCTGACCATATTCACAAGCGACATTCAGCAACACGATATCCCGCTCCTCGAGAGACGCTGTCTGACCGAGATTGTCATGATAATGCTCCAAAAGCACACGAAGAACATCTGTACTTCCATGCCTACAAGCGACGAAGAAAGGGTCCATTTCGCGTGCTTCTGATGAACAAGTAATACCTCTTGGGTGTTTCTCCTTGTACTGATTTAACATTGGGACATCGTTCGACTCTATGATTTTCGCTAAAAGTGACCCGAATTCGTCCTCGTGCAGTTTGGACCCGTCCGTGTCGATAATGGCCACATCGTACCCCCAGGGTTGAAATCGGCGAAATTCAACATATGACATTCTCTTTGGACTTCACTAGAGACGACTTTCGGTGCGAAGAAAAGATATTGGTTGAGATGTGGAGTGAACGGAAAACCACATGGGAGGTGAGAGAATATGGCGTATTTACGTCGAAAATGGATTGTAAGAGGTAGAGCCAGGGCACCCTATTCCACAAGGCCAAAAGGTCATATAATTCGGGATCAACGATCCCGAATGCCCTGGGGGCACCTATATAGTATACCGCCGTTACATTTGGCTTAACTATAGTTAGATATAGAAATTCTATTAATCTAATTATAATCTAGCAGTTAGATACAACTGACCCCATTAACCTAATCTAACCTGGCCAAATGCCAGTCTAGATTATAGCTAGATTACAGCGGTTAGGTTATGCCACTCTAATCTAATTTATTCTAATCTACAGTTAACCGCGGTTAAGGGATTAATTAATCTTAATCTAACCGAGGCCGGTTAGGTTAGGTTATGGCTAGGTTACAGCGGTTAGGTTATACCACTCTAGGTACAAGAAAGCTCTATATAGTCTTCTAATAATACAACAGAGAGAAAAAAAAAAAAAAAGCCCCTTCAACGCCGTCCTGGGCGTCGAAGAGGAGCCTTGACATGATGGATCGTCGTGGCAGGCTCTATTATTCTTTATTTCAGGACGCTCGTTGCAATCCTGCCAAAAACGCCTCTTACCAAGCCAGGTCGCTCTTGAAGACAAGTGAGAAGAAGGGCAGCGCTAACAGCGAAAGTAATGCGCTCTCGATATTGGTACTAAAGACCAATTAGCATTCATAACGTTCTGGGATTACACAAGGTACGACGGGGAATAAGATCGCAATTATAAGATTGCAACACAAGACGAGGTGTCACACGGGAATTGGGGAATATGTAGGCAAGCAACAAAAGGAGTGCGTGAACCATACCTGCTTATCGTAGAACCTTGGGAGCACAGTTGCAGCAGCTCGAGGTGCCACAAACAATGCTAACTCCTGCCGTTTCGATGGGCTTTCTACAAGTATACTCCAGCCGCACATCAAACATCCAGCTCCAACGCAAAGCCCGGAGTCCCACATCATGGGGGTTACTACATCTCGTGGGAATATCTTTGGTCCGATTCTGGTTCTTGCGAGGCACACGGAATAGTAAAAGATACTCACAAACGAAGCAAGGAATGCAGATGAGCGCAAGGCGTCAGATACAGCCCGGCGGAGTGACGATGCCGACTTCAATCTGCGGAGCCGGAAGGCAATTTGTAAAGGTATATAAGTTGCACAGGCAAACCCAAACGTTCGAACGAATCGAGATACGGCATGTTTCTCACAATTAGGCCCACAGCTCATGTGTACCATTTCGCAGGGAATAGGAATTGTTTTGGCGGGATCTCCCCATTCGATAGGCCAGCCGTAGTCCTTGCACATGGACTGGAGTAGAGGCGCTTGCCCCGTGTCTTTCCCATACACGAAGACCCCTCTCCTGACTCGGCGAAGTGCTTCAATCAACCGGGAATCCACCCTGGCTACCTCTCCAATCCATTTTCCGTAAGACTTTGGCAACCTTTCGGGTAGGTAAAACCATGCCCACATCACGACTGCTGCACTAGCGGCAAATACGCCCGAATCCGCAAGCTTTGGCGCCAGAGACTCTGCGCGACTCCAGCGACCCCGAGCGCTCCGCCACCGTCGCCATCGGGCCCATATGATGCAGGCTACTAGATCCACTGCTCTAGTAAAGCTAAAAAGCGTTAGATCCATCGTCCTGCCCGCAAACGGAGGTCTATTAGGTATTGTGTTCTGGCACCCTTGCTGCTTCCCAGCAGCTTCGTCGTTTCCGTTGTCAGCAAGCGCCCCTTCATCTCCTTGCAGCCTAATGGGCTTTCGATTCAGCAGCTCAAAGCTCAGCCAAGCGGAGACAAAAGCACAGACTAGTCGGGATAAACGCAGCAAACTGGCAGATTCTAATCGACTACACTTGAAGTCAATTCTTTGGCTTAAGAGCTCAGCCAGCCGGAAAATCGCTAGGGGAAACACTGTTGAGCCCCCAACGAGGGAAGCACAGAATGTGGGGAAGCTATCCAATCGTATCGCACTCGTCAGTGCACGAACTAGCTGGTATCCAAATATTAGTCTAGAGCTTCTGTCGAGTTGTGTAGTTGGCAAGTAGATCACAAGGCGCAAGAGTTATGGATGGGTCAAGGAAGGACAAATGTGGAATGATCAATGAACACTTCCAAAAATGCAAGTATCTACCAAGGGAACAACCTACCACTGTTCGCTTCTGTTGATAATTCAAGTCATTCCTCCAAATTTGCCGTAAAGACGCTATAACCCTTGGAGTGGTGGAGGACAAATAACCAATGACATATGCACGCAAAATGCTGTAATGATACACAAGCAGCAGTCCAGTCAGCAATCTCAGCAGCACCCCAGAAAATGTAACGTGTACCAGCGTTCTAGATCGCATGCGACTCCTAGACTGTATCAGAGTGAAGGTACTACTTACGGTTTTAGGAGTTGATTTTTATTTCGGCATTTGCCCGTGAAGCCTATAGAATCCATGGTCTTCAGAGCTCCATTCAATGGCAATTTTCCATGGCCACTTGTCGGTAGTAGAAGATGGCAACCACACCAATCAATATAACCCTAAGCTATCTGGGGGCGTCAGGGATTGCTCCTAGCTATGCATAGCCGATCATTGTACGTAAAGCATGGGCAGTGGGACACACCTTTCAAATCAGGTGTACCTCCTCCTTACGGAGAGCTTAACATGGGATCGTTGGGTCAATCCAGATCTCTTTGAGGCAACAATAATCGACGGAGACCACGTAAATTGGACGAGATTACGGAAATACAAGATGGGAAAGCTAGCACAAACACCTGCTGTGGCAGCAGCTCGAATAATTCCTACCTGATACCGGTCTATTGGCAGCGTTGGTGTGACCTAGCGTGGAGCCGTGCAACGTAATCTTGAACCTCGGTCCTTGAGGGCCTCCAAAGCACGTCTGTTAAGGCTGGTTCAGGGGTAAGACTAAACCCTTGGTGGCCGATCCTCCATCTGTCAGCCGCAAAATTGAGTGGTACGTGAATCGTCCCGCGGGATAAACCCCGTGGGCCTCCGGGCCGTACGGAGTACACTGGGTTGTGGGCCGAAGAAAACGGAACGAGGAAAAGAGAGAGGATGAACAATACACCTCCCCTCCCCCCAAAAAAAATAAGAAACTAATATATACAAAGTTTCTTCCGATTAAGAATGCGAAGATAAAGGGGAGCTGAGAGGGAGGGGTCTGCAAGGTGTTATATTGGCCTGAGTTATGGACCAGGAGGAAGGGTAGTAGTAGAATGAGGGAAAGAGAGACAGCAGAGTCGCCGACAACAGACAATTCATGCAGGACATGGATTTGAGACCCTCTTCTAGCGGGATTGGGAAATAGGACCGAGCGTCACAATACCCCGGTATTACGGAAAGTCGAACCACTCTGATGGACGACAGTGGGGTATTTTTGGTATGGTTTTTACGTCACGCGACCTTTCTTTCTGTTCGAGCGCGAGAATTTTTGCATGTGATCGAGTCGAAAAGACCGACGGTTTCCATTCCAATGCTACTGACTGCTCTCTCCACCATCGCATATCCCCAGACTACTAACTAACCCTTTTCTCCCTCTTTCCCATATGATATCAATGCGGGGGCCTTTTTCCTACCAGGCCAACCTTGTCGTCGTCTAATGCTGCTGCTCTGTATTGTGTTCGATTAATATCTACACTCTCAACTCATATCTATCTGCGGTTCGGGTTTTCCAACTAAAAAGGCTCTTGCTCGTACGTCCAGGACAAAACGAACCCGTGGACTCCACTTATCTATACCCTTATATGACCCCGGATTTTGAGGGTACGAGTCCAGACCATTGGCCGATCAAGGCATGCTCACGTTGCTCTCTCGACGTCGCTCTCAACGATAGAGTAGCGACACAAGCGAAAACCACTACCCCTCCACATTCCACCCTGTCGTTCCTTTCCCTTTCGCCCTCTTTCCCATAAAAATGAATATGAACGCCCCCCAGGCTCGCAGCGGACGGGATAGCCCTCAGCCGGGACCGTTTGGCTGTATGTATAACCGAATTTTGACACATGAAGACCTCAGTCTAATCGTATTTACTCTGCAGATTCCTTCCTATCGCCTATGGATACTCCTTACGAACCGGCACCTGCGCCTCCTCCCGGGCCAGCTCTTCTTGATGATAATGAGTCTAATATGCTTGATAATTTTTTCACGACCATGAATTCCAACCATTTCACGAACGACTTCTGGCTACAGGGCCAGCAGAATAAGTCACTTGGGCCAACAAACTTTGAGTGGTCAGATGAACTACCTCCGACATTCGAAGGCTCCACAACCTCTCTCTCACAACCCTCACTTCCTCACCGCGGCCTTGATAAATCTGGGATGGACATTTTACCTAACCATTCGAATTCGGATATTTTTGCGGCTGCTTCCATGCTCTATCAAAACGGCATGAATGGGACAGGACTCGTTTCTCCTTTTGCACATCACCCGTTCCCCTCTTTCTCGGAGATGGACTACAATAATGCCCGTATGAATGGTCGCGTAAAGCCCCAACAGCCACAACCAGTGTCATCCAAACAATCGAATACGTTCACTGGTGCTCGTACACCGATGGCCTATCACACGTCGGAAATGCTCTTCGATGTACGAGATCCAATATCGCCAGAGCAACAGGCCACTGCCAAAGTACGGCCCCTTCATTGGGGGTCTGATATCAGCTTTATGGACCAAGGATATGTGGCGCCACCTGATCAGCCAAACGTAGAAGAACAGACGCAAGAGTTGCTTCGCCATCTTGAGTCTCTCGAGCCTCAAAGCAGTGCTGCCAATACTCGCGCACCAAGCCCGGAACGTATCACCGGCCACCACAGTGCTCACTGGGCAGGACCGGATGCGACCGGGCCACTCAGTGACTTACGTAGGGAATACAGGGATAGCATGGAAAATTTGTCGCAGCCTAAGAAACGGCAAAGGACCTTGATCAAGGAAGAAGAAGACGAGAACTCAGAGGATGATACGAAACCGAGGTCAAGAAGATCCAAGAGTACGAGCTATGGCAAGAATCGGCGGATGTCAACTGAGACCATCCGAAAATCTAAAGTCCAACAAGGTGCCAAGCCCACAAGAGAGAATCTCACGGAGGAGCAAAAACGGAGCAATCACATTCTGTCGGAGCAAAAGCGCAGAAACTTGATCAGGCAGGGGTTCGATGATTTGTGCACCCTTGTACCTGGGCTGAAGGGTGGGGGCTTCAGCAAAAGTGCCATGCTCACGCAAGCTGCAGACTGGCTAGAGGAGATACTCCGTGGGAATGAGATTCTAAAGGCGCAGCTGGCTGACATGAAAGCCATGAATGGCTTAGTTATGCCTCGATAACGCGTATGCTGGTTATGCAACCATGACATATCCTTTCCTCTGTCTACCCTGTTAAACACTTTTTTTTTGGGCACAGGCAGTTTCACCAAGTTCTCTGAGCTGAAGCGATTAGCGAGTTAGGTGGTGTACATTGTGAAAGTTTGATTCACCGGGCGTTTATTCTCGACGATCATGATCTATCCCTAAGATATCTATGTGTTCTCTTTCCCTCCCGTTCTTTCAATGTCTGTCTCATTGTTGCTACGATGTGCCTCATGCCTTATAATACCCTTGATTGTTCAGGCCTAAGAGCCGAGCCTTATGTTTTGTGTCTTGTATGCATAATAGGAAGCTGATATATATATTCGGCTACAGAGAATGCATGCCCTTGCATTTGGGCACGGGTATCAAATGTGTATTTATATGTAAAGGCTTTCACAAACAAAAAAAAAAAGCTTTCCAAGTCCTTATCCCAAGCAAAACAATTAAGAGAATCATCGCCCGGGCAGCATTTATCGGAGGATGCGTCACGATAGTTCCAAACGTACCTGCAGCGGGAGTGCTCCACGGGGCGCTTAAACGAGTTTAGCGTCATTCTGTTTCTATGGCATGTGACGCTGCAACAAGATCAACAATCCCCGTTGATGTTGACATCGATCCCCATTACTACGTACAATAGCTTCGTACCTTTTCCTTATCATCACTCACTTTGAGCCTCATTCAAGGGTCTCTAGCTCCTTGATCGATCAAGTCGCAATGCCTCCGAAACGAAAGAGCCCCGGTGAGGGGCATGACCAAGACAACACGCGCAGGAAGCGATTTGCTTATCTGAAGCCCCAAGTTCGTCGGGTCTCTGAACGAACGATCAAATCTAAATGGTCCACACTCCCAGAGCCAATGCAAGAGAAGATTCGCGATATGTTTCGAGCCCTCGAGCGCCCGGTCATAATGCGTCAACAGAGTGAGCGAAAGCGCATTGAAGCGCAAGCAGCTGTTCAGGCCGTAGTGAAGAAGTATGCATCTCGGATCTTCCTATGTTTTCTAATTTTATTCGTTCTGTTCCTGGTAGAAAAAGGATCTAACTTTCAAAATTTTCTCTCAAGCCTCGGAAAGCGCCTACCTAGAATGCCATTTCCACCCGTGACGAAGGATTCGGTTTTCGAATACGAGGCTGCACTCAAAGAACATGTACGAAGCGTCCTCGACTGCTTGCACAAACTGATACTGATACTTGACAGTGTTCCCTGGAGGCGAGCCTGGCTACCGTCATGGACAGCACTGATCTCTTGAAAGCCGAAATCGAAAAGGAAGAGGCATTACTTGCGAAGGAAACGAAGCAATTGCAGGAAATGGAGAAGAATGCTAAGCGGGCGGAAGCAGAACGGAAGAGGCAACTGAAAAATGTAAGCTGTCTGTGTTGCTCTGAAGCCGCAGAATTCGTTCCTGACTTTTGAAAGGAACATCCCGTACTTCGGCAGCTCAGCGTTCCTGGCCAACAGAGCCAGGATCACACTCAGCTCGTAATCTCTGGCGAAAACGATTTGCAAACTACGTTTGATGAGGTAATTATCCGACCTCCTTCCACTGCCGGGCTGTCACTAACGTGCTTTCTTCAGCTCGAAACCGACCCCGAGGTCGCGGGCTTGTTAAAGCAGCTGAATGGGCATCTCAAATCCATGCAGGGTAATACAGCCCCTCTGACAGGCTTAAGTGAGGCGATTACACGGTCCCAGACAGCTTTGAGCCTGACTTGCCGACCTGAAGATTGACCATTTCAACTTTGGCCTGCATTGGGATTTCATCAAACTTGATATCGGATTACTTCAGCCACGGCTAAGTCTAAGGCAAGCTAGCCTCTCATTCCGTCGAAACCTTCCTGTCCGTATTGCAGATTCATGACTGCGACGGCTTGACTCAGGGGATAGACCTTTGAACGATTGGCTGATTCCTGAAGAGCCATTTCAGTACTACGCATGTGATGGGCGTACTGTTCTCTTCGGCTTGGCTATGTGAGCATGCTATAAAAACGCCACCAACAGTGCGCTTAAGAACCTGCCATCATACGGTTCGGGTCCCTAATATTTACACAGAACGCATGGTTCGATGGTGGTTGGAAAAAGTCTTAATCTCATAGGGAGATTAGTCAGGGAACTTGGCCTTGTCTAGATCATGGGAGTCAATTTGGCGCACTATGACGAAGTGGCTGTGCGCCGAAGCATAGACTCGTACTAGTAGTACTACTGGTACTACTAGTAGTAGGTACAGAGGAACTCCCGATGTGGGGGTCTGAGCATATGTTTACATTAGATGTGATATGTTTGTTTCCGGTGCAGGTAGAATGATAAATCTTGGAGTATATGAGAACGTTCCGATTCTGGAATAGTAAGAAGCGCAGTTGGCATGTAATTTCAATCCAACCTGGAGGATAAGATCCATGGATGAAAAATATTCTAGCCGAGGTACGAATGTGTCGCATATGGCCCTGCAGAACAGCTGGGTTGTCAAATATCAAGAGTTGGGGTTCCGAGGGAGAGTTGGGGAGGTTGAGGAAATGTATTGGCGTCAAGAGAATGCATCGGGACATCTTGGGGTGTTTCCCGCAGCTGAAATGCGGAGGAGCTCGGGAAAAGATACAGCCCGGTTGGGAGTCCCGCACACCAGCGGGGAAACCTTGAGAGTCGATCGCAATCGTCGTTCGCCCCGTATCATCATACCATACATACATACTTTGGCGCCGCGACAGACACCCCAGGATTACTTTTCTACAATGCATTTGAGCTTTCTCAGTCTATGAGCGTTAGTTGATGTCTGCAAGTTCCCACCGGACTCTTATCTGTGTCCCCCAGTCGATAGCGACAACGAAACAGCCGTGACTCTGCGCAACCGCTTTTGCGCCCAGTGATCAATGACCGAGAAAAACGCTGCGCAAACGGGCACGAGACCCGAACAACCCGGCAATGGTACCTTAGGGAATCTCAAGAACAATATGGCCGAGGGAGACGCTGTCAAACAGGACTCAAGCGCCAAAGACAACTCGCGAAATTCTCCAGCGTCCAAAGGTGAAAACGCTGCCGCGGGGACTCACGCCAGCCCCAAGAAGCGTCGCAAGGTTAATCATGGTAAGCAAACAACCTCGCCATGCATTTGTACAAGGATATTAGCAGCGGATCCTCTCACACTCCCCTTGCCGTTCCCGCGGGCATCAAGTCCACGACGCTAATCCTGTTGCCACTCTTTTAGCATGCGTCTACTGTCGGCGATCGGTAAGCCTTTTTCTCTTGACGCCCCTTTCAGCAATACTCGTCGTCTGTCCGGACATCCCATTTGCTTCCCCCATTGCAAAATCAAAGCAAGGAGTAAAAAACAAAAAAAAGAAAAGAAAAGGAAAGGAAAAATCCTCGAAATTCATCTGCTGACGAAAGGGCAATTCTTCACGTGGTACAGCATATGACTTGCGATTCGGTACGACTTTTCCTGAACTTTATCATCACAGCTCACCCTTGTGAAACCCATTACGGTTGCCTTCCACGAGAGTACTTGCTGACACTTGTTTTCTTTTCTTTCCCTTTGGAAAATAAAGGAGCGGCCGTGTACACGATGTATAAAGCGCAATATTGGCCACCTGTGCCATGACGAACCTAGAGAGCCTTCAAAGCGAGCTCGGAGTGAACACGAACATTCTGTAGCAGATGACGAAAGTGTGCAGAACAATGACTTTTCGAACGTCCTTCAAAGTATGACTAGCAATGTCGATGTCCCGGATGCTGCCGGCCAGCAAATCCTCCCTAATGGGCTTCCATCGTCGTCTGTGCAGCACGGCAGCCTCTCCTCCTCTTCAGGCCCAGGCCCCGGCGCAACTTCCCAGCCACGTAAGTCTCCAAGTAGGTAAACGTTCTCCTTAAGGTTGCTGCTGACTCCCACCCCATCAAGTTCTCGGTTACAATGATTGGCTCGGTGGTCAAAGCCAATTCCAGGATATGCACACTTTTCATCCTTCGTACATGTTCAATGCTCCGGAGGTCACAAACGAGTATAACCTTCTTGGTGACTTCCTGAGTAACAGCCTCTTGGATGACGGATCTATGTTCCAGAACGATGATCTGCAGGGGATTTATTCTGACCCGACGTTGATCAGTTCGATGACAACACTCGGTGGGGGACCTAACGCGGCGCTACTCCAGCAATCACAACCGCCACATTTGGCCCAGAGCCAACCATCTCAGGGCGATTCACTCCAGGGTCCGACCAGTGGAGCGGTAAATGATAAAGCGCGTGAAACGTATTACATGACGGCAGCAGATCCCTCCGGGTCTGACCCACCGGAAGAGCGAATGAATAAACTTCTCAAGGCTAAATACGATGCCGGCCTTCTCAGACCATTTAACTATGTAAAGGGCTACGCCAGGTTAAACCAATATATGGAAAAGAATCTACAGCAAGCCTCGCGCCAGAAGATTCTCCGACAACTCGATAAATTCAGGCCCAAGTTTCGGGAGAGAATGCAGAGTCTGACGGATATCGAACTCATCCTTGTGGAGATGTGGTTTGAGCGGAGTTTGATGGAATACGATCGTGTCTTCGCTAGTATGGCGATTCCCGCTTGCTGCTGGAGACGTACGGGTGAGATCTTTCGAGGCAACAAGGAGATGGCAGAATTGATCGGAGTCCCAATCGAAAGTCTAAGAGACGTAAGTGCAGTGATGGTGGTATTGGTCTTCTTGAAGGAATAAGCTGACCCGTCCTCGTGCACTAGGGCAAGCTAGCCATTCATGAAATTATTGTGGAAGATCAGCTTGTGAGCTACTGGGAGAAATTTGGAGCAATTGCTTTTGACAATACACAAAAGGCAATGCTCACAAGCTGCACACTGAAAAGTCCTGACTCTAACGCTTCTGGCGATGGGATCCCCTGCTGCTTTTCATTCACAATACGGAGAGACCCGCACAATATGTAAGTGAATCTTATGCCGCTGTAGTTCCCCTATCTGATTTGCAACTTAGCCCATCTCTTATTGTTGGGAATTTCTTGCCATCTCAACGAAAGAGTAAATGAATACACGCTTCGTTTCCTTGTCTCGATTTGCTATCGGCGTCCGGCTGTTCGGGTTTTTATTGATTGGGAATGGACATCCTTGGCACATACGTCCACCTAAGCGCTTTAGCAGCTGAACGCGCTGAAATGTTATGCTCATCTCGTACATTTCATTAAAATTGTACCATACTTCACTCTTTTCTCCCTAACACTCATAACGGGAGCAACAATGGGTTGGGGTTTGCTTGCCTGAATTTGATACCTGAATAACGTGATGGAACCCGAGTTAGTCTCATCATGTGGATGGCCTTCCGAAAAGAAAGATCTTCTGAAATTGTAGGGTGTAATATAATCCGACTGGTCAGAGCCACAGAAGGCCTCTTGTTATTAGCTCTCGGGCGGAAATATCCATTTTTCGTTCTATAAACCATCTTAATTGACATTTAGACACGCAAGATCATCTACTACAAGAACTAGACAACCAAAATCGAGGACATGGCGACAACGTCAAGCAGTGCTGAAGTCAAAGCCGAAACGATATTAGGTGAGCGGCCTTGGGAGTGCTTCTTTCACTGATTGCTCATCCTGGCCGATTCCAAAGAGTTTGCCGAGAAAATACTCCAACACATGCAGAGCAATACTAATGAGGGTGCGATCCCAATGAGCGATGTATTCCACTCACTCGATGAACATCTTGGCCGCCTCCCTCTACTCACGTCTCCCCCGATTGCTATCCGTCGCCAATTAGCCGCCATTGGAGCAAGGTTGTGGAATATATCTGCCCAGATGATATCGATCTTTGGAAACGTTACTCATTACAAAGGTATGAGAGATATGTCTACATTAGCGACACCATCTGACTCGTTATAGTGAGCGCCTTTGCGTTATTCATGCTTGATTGCGCTGCGCCAAGTCACGGCTCAGGTAAATTGATACATGATGTGTTGCTGATTTCTGGAGGGCACATTCTCATGAAAAAATATAGGAAGCCAGAGAGTGTTAGAAGCAGCATTGAAGATTGTCCAAAGTTGCACAGGTACTCCCCTGTTGTATTTCCGTCTTTCAGCCAGATGTTGATCAATGGGGCTAGAGCATGGGATTATCGAACTAAGCCAAAAGATCGTCGAGATAGTAGCTGTACGCTTGGACAAACTTGAGAGATCGACAGATAGCTCGGATAAGGCACAAATAGTATCAGCTACGGCGGGGTATTACATAGTTCGAGTCAAGTTGGTAAATATGCGAGCCTTGAGCGACGATATTCAGCGCTGACATGCTGAGACAAGGCATGGCTGCAAGGGAGGCCCGATATAGCAGACCATTTATTTTCGAAGATACCGGCAATAGTTACTGCACATGACCAGAGACGTGTTCTTGAGTTATGCTACAAGATCGGAAATTTTGCTCTCGATGACCGCCACTATGATAATGCAGCGAAATGGTTAGAGAGGGCCTTATCAGCTTGGGAACTTTACAACAGTAATATGGCGCCGGATGTTGGGAACGATGCACTGCCCATTTTACACGCATCTAGTAGGGTCCAGCCAGGTTGATGCCCCATGTAAGAGTTAACGTAGCGTAGTTCGAGCAAACCTTCACCTCAAGAGTCCACTCGCTAAGGACCGTCTCGAGAAAGCCCTCGACCTTATTGAAAAGGCAAGGAATTGACAGTTATCTGATCATTGGTTCTGACCATGCTTATAGAGATATCCCCACACGTTTGCCGTCAAGGCGCTTCAGCTTGAAATTCTAAGCAGAGAGGGACACTCGAATGGCAACAAGTATCTTCAAAGTGAGTGAACACGGAATATAAATAATATATATTTTAATGCTCATGACCAGCTTCAAGTAATACGAGATATGCTTGATATACTGAATCCCAACGAGACAGAGTTGAAAATGTATGTGACACCCCGTGGCTTATGGCATGAAATCATCTAACAAACGCACAGAGTGGTGTTCTTTCTCCAGAAAGCTCGAGATCACGAGTGAGTAACCACTAAACTATGACTTCATAAGCTGATAGAGAGCAGGACCAGTTTCTATGTGCAAGGACTACAGCGGCTTTTGGTCGAAAAGCTTGCTAATTCCGATCAACAAGAGTGGACTGAGCGGATCTTCATTCTCTTGGTCTGGACACTGACAAATAATCGTTTTCATATGCAGAACAGTAGCAGTATTCTGTGTGATACGATGAAAAGGATGGCCAAGTGTGGTCGAAGTCTCTTGAGCGAGGACGCAACAAATGCTTGTCTGATTGTAATGGCCCTATGTGCTGTGGGGTCCAAGTCACTGACATGAGTTACAGCTCATATGGAAATATGTCGATGTAGTGTCATCTGAAGGCAATCTTCCCGTTGCAGAACACTGGTGCTCCTTCGTACTAGAAGAATCGATGTTTCAAATTTCATCGGAAAATAGAGCGATTTTCATCAGGTAAGATATGATCAATATGACGCCTGGCAGGTTAACAGGGAGTAGAAGATATATAGCCTTCGCATCGGATAATTCAAATGCGTGCGCGGCGTACAAGCTGTTTGGCAATATGCCAAATGAGTATAGGAAATGTCCTTCAGCACTATACTTGATATACAAAGCGGCGTTGAATGATAGAGACTTCAGTCAGGGTAGGAAACGGACATTCTCCGTATATACCGTGTCTAACTATGACCAAGGGCACTCTTATCTCCATTCGCTCTGTCAACTGGGCGCAACTGGCAGAACATACCTCTTGCCATGTGCAGCAGAAGCCCTTCGATCTGGGCAAACACTGTTGGCAGCTGAATGTCTCCGGCATGTACTAGATAATTTAGATGACAGCTTCCTGGAAGGAAAGTACATTGCAAGCCTCTTCATAGCTGCAGGCTGCCTGGTCTCTGCACAATTAGGGGAAACGGGAAAGGTGAAAGAGGATGATGAGCTTTTAGCTCAGGTCATACGTGTACTCGAAGCAGGTGCGTCGTGAACTAGAGAGCCACAGCACTTAATGCTAAGTATTCAAACCCGGGAAATAGCATACAAAAGTGGACAAAACACCGTGTTTTCGGACGTTGAACTTGAGTGGCTTTCGCAGAGGAGCTACAACATCGCTGTTCAGGCACGCTCGTGCGATTCCAGGCTAGTAGTACAGCTACTGGACCTCTCGATACAGGTGTGTTACTGCTGCTCGGTTAAACTCGTTGTGAGTTGCTGACATTGGGTTCCCAGTTCACAGCCTTGCAGAGGAAGACTCCAACATGCGAGAAGCAGTCCAATCTTTGGCAACATTATCTGCACTGCGATATCATCAAGGCTTTTAGAGTCATCACAGAGGCTCGAAAGGAGACGGAGACCAGTTTGAAGGCTTGCTTGACCCTATTTCCTATTTACCAAGCAATTTTCTTCTAGAGGCTAATTGAAAGTAGCAACAACACTATGAAAATGCCCACAAATTTGCCCAGCACTGCCGAACTTATATTCAAAGCCGACCACACCCGGAGAATACGACTGATGAAAACAGTGAATGGCTCCAAAAGTATCGAAGGATCTTGTCAATTGACCTAGAGTGCACTTTATTCTTCAACCAATGGGATTGTGTGCCGTCCATTATTGAGGAGTCGAAGACCCTAATCGATGGTGAACTCAGTTCGATATTTCTTGATTGTGTCCTTCGTTGCGGAGCTTCAGTAACACATATCGCCAAGGCTGTTGAGGTATTTGTCCATTAGACAATACTGCAAACTCTACCAGCTATGATACAGGAGCTAACAGAATATTTCCTCTTAAGACAATCGTACTGGTCCTCCGCACCAATGCGTCCCCGTACCTAGAGGCCGCAACAGCCCGGGCCGTTCTTCCCCGCTACATCCATACCTTCTTCCAACTGTCCTTGGACGCATCAGAATACTGTCTCGCTGAGTCGGCCCTTGATCAGGCTTTGGCTTCAGCTTGTGACCTTTGCGGTACGGCCTTGTGCTACCCAAGCGATGAGATTCAGTGGATGGCGACGGTGGCATTTAATCGAGCGGTGGATCTCTATTTACTTTCTGAAAGCGGCGAATGCCAGCGGTGGGCAGGGAAGGCCATCAAACTGGCCGATCTGGGCGAGAAGGACTGTAGGATGTTGGGGAAGCTATTGAGAGAGAAACTTCAGAAATTGTCCTAGTATATTGTATTTTCTGTGGACTAAGCCTCCACCAATATCGACCACAAATGGTACCCACAATGGGCATAATGTACGGGAGATGGTTGCAAGTGCTGTGAGACTATGAGGTCCCGATTAAGGAAGGATAAGATGCTTTTGCAACAACCCATCGAGGGAGATGACCAGCGCTACGTATTCAGGGTCACCAGAATCTGAAGGCTGAACCTGACATACCCAGAAGGGAGGTCTAGAACAGAGGCAAGGTTTTCACCAGGGTGGCAGATAGTTGGACCTTTACCCACAGTTTTCGGATCTTGCACGAACTCCGTCGCACATCAGACTATTTTGCTGAGTGGGAAGGTCCTGTTAAGGCCACCGGCTCTGGGTTCTCAATGTCGGATGAATCATCCATGACTGGGATAGGATTGGACCTCCTGTGACCTATTCGGATTGTACATTGACTTTGTCAGAGTCTGTAGATGTAGACGTTAGGTCAAGATTATGTTTGATGTCGATGAGAACTAATCTAACCAACTAGAAGACCTGGTCTCTATGCTTCTCAATGTTGATCTCTGGTCGGCATACCGAAAACCCTGCGGACCACTCGAATCTTGATATGATATCGAGCAGAAGGAGAGATCCTCGCGCAATGAAGGAAAATGAGCATCAGATCCTTGCCTTCTACGGAGTCTAACCTCGTAGTCCCCTCGACCACGACGAGAGACGCGGGAATAGCCTGCACGCGCCATGGACTGGGATAAACTACTATTCAATACGGCGGTCTGTTTCTGGTGATGTATGTGGCTTTCTTGATCCTTGAGTTTACTGTGTATAGAAGATGAATATAACGTATCAAACGACCATGCATACACAATGGACCTGGTGTACAAGGCATTCAAAGGGATCCCATGGTGTCGAATAATGAGAGAATTAGGTCTATAGACAATGGATTTTAACTCATATCATAATCATCAACAGCGTAAACACAACATCTGTATCTGATATAAAATTAGGGTTTACACGCATCATGCGTCCGGGTTCTATAAACAACTGACATTTTCGATCATTCGAATTTAGCTTACCAATGATATAATACTTCGTGACACCACGTATGATTTGGATTGACGTACATCATCTTGAGTACTTGAAGAGAATCCGAGATGATCGACGAACGTGGGTGGTTTCCGTCTTTGCCCTGTGAAACGTTGAAGCGATATCCCTTCTACGACACGGACAACCTCACCTGAAGAAATAACCGCCGATTTAGCACTTACAGCTCGCGTACAAAACGAAGTAGTGCTTCAATAATCTACACAAGATAGTATGTGTGGTTGACTCTGCCGTACCCCTCACCCTTTCTTCGCCCTTTAGCCCTGGTAGTGCATGCTATGGGATGCCGACATCAACTAGCAATCAAGACGGGAAAGCACTGCCCACTTGGTACCACATTCTGCCGCAATAAGTCTCACTGTGTTCCCTAAGTCGAGAGACAAACCAGAACCGTTGTAAGTAACTCCCTAAGGCTGGACAAGGCTGTTGCCCGGCCGTGGAACCAAGTCTCTGCAACGTTTATGGAGTAAGTGACACCAAGCTCGTAATAAGCTTAGGCCTTTGCTGTGATACCTTCAAGGACCTGGAGGCACCACAAGATTGCCGGCTTCCTTTCCTACTCGTCCACGTTTTGAATCACAGTCCTCGATTCTGGGGGCTGCCCTCAAATGTCCCTGCATCTGTGCACTTTCTTTCGTAATCTGTCCCACGTATTAAGTGAAGGTCTCCCTGTCTTTGGAAGGATATCTAGATTGCTATGTTGTCTTCAGCTGTAATATATGATATATGGTGCGTTATCAACATGCTCTAGTGCTGTGGGTTAGATAGTGTGCCGGGTGGTTCTTGAGATCGACTTTAGCCCGAATCCTAGTTATCAATTATATCACACCTTTTTTTTTTCATTCCAACTGAAATCAAACAAGCCTCTCGGCTGGGTTGGGAATATGAAATGATGCAAGCATGAAGGGCAACGGTCTCCGCACGTTTGCTAGAAAGTAGAAAGTCAGAGAGAACGAGGCGAAAATAATGGACTACTAGTAAATATAGATGTACATGGGTGAAAATATGTGGCCCCTTGGGGTCAGAAAAGCCGTGGAGCTGAAAAAAAGAGTATTCTAATAGATGATATAGCGATGAGGCGAACAGCAGAGACGGAACGCATCTGGGTTACACTGCCTCTGCCTGGATAAATCAGTCAAGCCAATCTCTGGGAGTAGACGACTTTGATTTGCGTAGATCCCCCTCTTCAGTACGTGATATCACTTGCAGGGTGATTGTGTGTGATCCGTAGTGATTAGTGAGGCTTACATGGATTCAGGCTATCGCAGACTTGAGAGTAGTATCTTATCTGCAGATGTGGCTTCTATGGCGCTTATGGACCAAGGTATCTTTACTACTTGGGCTGTAGCAGGTTTTGAATCTACTATGTGTGCCGTGGAGATGATTGGAATCTCAAATGCAGCACCATATATTAAAAATCTGCTGGCGTTGTATGTATTTAGTGAAGGAAAAGAGTCGATCATCGAGCCATGAACCCTTAGATAGGAGATACTCAGAGCAAAGTAACAATGGTAAAATAAGGACGATTCTGAGATCCAAGGCTCGTGCAACTATCTATATCAGCATGTGCATTATCACCCTGATTGACTGCGAGTTAATGTGATGATATATCTCGATCTTGCCTTCATGTACAATGTTGAGTGATGCGGTTACTTACTAGTAGTGCCAGGCACTAGACTAGGACACCTTTAGCCTGTCACTATCATTGGCTGCCCTGGATGGCCTGCATTAGCCCCTCCGAATGCAGGCCTCGAGGTGCTTCGGAAATTCTAGCCTAGTGCTTCATATGCGCGGGATGAGGGATCATCGGATATGGGTTAGGTTTGTTCGAGGCTCAAGGTTAAGGGATTATAATTCTATATAAGTAGGGCCTGATTAACCTTCAAGATGGCAGTGTCTGTTCGACCCGAGGTATTCTATCCTTCGTCTCTGCATGTGCCGTTCTATTGTCGTTGAAGTACCTTCTCAGGTGTCCCGACGATGTGGCCCTCTGAGAAGCATAACTTAGGTGATTATAGTCTCTTTCATCCAGAAGGCGATCCTATCGACCAGGACCTGGAATATCAGCAGGTTACTATACCCTTTGTGTCAGTCGGATACGAGAGTCCAGAACAAACCTCCAGACCAATAGATCTTATCCCATACAATTGCTTTCCCAATCTCGACAGAGAATCATGCCGTCGAACTAGTCCGGAGCTCGCAGTGACCAATGTCAACCCAATTCTGTTGACTGCATTGGATCACCCTACCAACGTTCCGGGGTGTAATGGCACACAGGCAATTTCCAACCAGGGGGTCCATACCACCCGTAGGACAGGCGTTCTAGATCTGCAAAAGCGAATGCAAAAATATCCAACGATAACTGGCGATGGCACGCCTGCCCGTAATAGGAATCTCTGTAAGGGACGTAAAATAACTGAACGCAAGTAAGTGATCTACAGCTTCTAGTAGTTCCAGTCTATATTATCTCATCTAACATTATACGCTCTAGCACCGGCCGCGAGTACTCTACGAAATATCGCTGCGAATGGGCGGGATGCAGATATACTGGTGTCTTCGGACGTAAGGAAGATTTGAAGCGGCATATATTCAAAATTCATGTTTCGCCGCGCTCGTATGAATGCCCTGTGGGGAACTGTCGGAGGGCTTTCAACCGGAATGACAATCTGCAGAGTCATTTGAAGAGGGTGCACCCGGTCCCATGGGGTTGATTTTGGTTTGGATACATTTTGTTCCTTGTCTCTTATGCTGCGTTCCTGGTGTTCATGAAGATAGGTATTTGATGATTAGGCAGTGAAAACTCCCGTGAATTGCGTCCTTGGTGATGAATATGAAGGATTACATGTTTGTCCCCTACACTGTCTATAATGCGAATATCTGTCATTTCGGTGAACTGATAAATATAGTACACCAGGTGGTACCCCAACCATTGCGATGTGTATAAAAACTTAGGGCTTGATGGTTGGATGAGATGTGGGGCAAGACCTGCCTTCCACCAATCGGAAAGTAGCAAATTACTACCCGGAATGTTCCATGAGAACGATTCCGAGGTACTCCGCTCGAAATAGACGCTCTTCCCCAGATTCTCGGTAACTGTTCATATTACTTGATCGCAAAAGATAACCGGTCCGTCATGTCGGCACGTCGCCATCGATCAGCAGTCGCATGTCAGCATTGCCGCCAGCGTAAAGTACGCTGCAGCTATACGGTTACTGGCGTACCATGTATTGGTTGTACGCAAGACGGCACCGAGTGTATTATCCCCCAAGGAAAAACGCAAACGTAAGCCCGCAAAGTCACAACTCTGTAAGTAAGTACGATGAGCTGAGCGTGAATAGACCTCGGATCCGTCAAGTTGTACCTCATATGCGGCACAATGGCCCGGAGAACAGCCCTCGGAGTGCGGAGGAGTCTCGCAAGTCGATGCCGCCCCGGCCTTCCGCTCCAACAGATGCGTTCATTGCACCGATTACCCCACAAATAGAACGCCCCAGGTCAGTGGGAGGTGCTACTGAGATCAATACTTCGCCAGAAGAGAACAGAAGTCTTGATGAGGAACGCACTGGGGCAGAGATTGCAACTGCGGCCCTAGGGAGAAACCAGAGAGCGGGCCAGGCGCCATTTTATACTGGTTTGTGTCCCAAGGCCTAGGGTACCCCCAAATGTTGAGATAATTGACTTCTTACTAGGCGAGTCTCCGGGATTCGGGAGTGTACTGGACTTATGCTCGCCACCACAGCAACCTGTCCAACGGCATATTTTGCTGCAGCCCAAGAGATCGATTCCCCTCTCTGTTGAGGACCGCGAATACCTTCAGTACAAAGGCGTTTTTAACCTGCCCCGGAGTGATACGTGTGACGAGCTTCTCCGTGCCTATTTCCATCACGTGCATCCTATCCTACCAGTCGTCGATGTGACCTCAGTGCTCAGCTCTTATCCGGGTGGAGAGAGCAACCAATGTAACCTCCTGTTGCTGTGGAGCATGTTCTTTGTTGCAGCTAATGTATGCCAAGCTTCCCTGCTCAATAAACCCTTCTGCTAATATCGGTAATAGTATATTTCCACCGACACGTGGAAACAGGAGGGCTACTCATCGAGAAAGGCAATGAAATACGATATGTACTCTCGTGCCAAGGTACGTATCCTGCAGGTTGGACCTAAGTTGAGTCTATTGGATTTATTGGCTTTTCTAACTGGCCGGTTGACCTCCAGTGTATGTATCATAACAGTGGCGAAACCGACAATACTCTTTTATTGCAATCGGCTCTCCTCTTGGGATTCTATCACTCGGAAGTCGATCTGCATATGCAGCCGTGGTATTGGACTGGCAGCGCAATTAGTCTCTGCCAGATCATGGGTCTGCATCGTTGCCCGTCTTCGGCTTGGTTGAATTCCTCAATACCTGAAAGACAGCAGCGTTTGTGGCGTCGTCTTTGGTGGACCTGCTTCTTTCGAGATCGTTGGCTGAGTCTTACAATGGGGAGACCCCTCAGAATCGACATACGCGACTGCGACACAGTAATGCCATCTTCTGTCGACATGCTGAGCGACATGACCGGGCTACCTGAGGCAGTGGCCAGTGCTTACATCCCAACCGATTTGCCGCGTTTGGCAGACTGCTGGGTGACGATGATTCATTTGAGTAAACTCTTAGGCGACGTCCTCAGCCTGAGCTACCGGCATTTTGGACCATATCCATCGGTTCAGCAGGTACAAGCAACGGAGGCAGAAATCCTACTATTTCAATTCCCGGACAACCCCGGCACGGACCGAAGTCGTCTAGCAACCTTTTATGCGTATCATCTGCAGTTACACTATCAGTTCGTATTTTGCTGATTTATATTCTCGACTGCAATTCTAACCATGACAGAGCCTTACTCATTACGTTTTATCGCCCTTTTATCACCAAGGCGCCAGAAGGGCTACCGGCGGCTCAGCAACAGGCATGGCAAAGCCAGATACGAAACAAAATGGACGCCGCTGCCCTACAAACGAATTCTATTGTTGATAACCTGGCTCGTGAAAAGCTGCTAGAATTTGGGGGTCCAATGACGTACGTCCCTTGCCTCTCTTTCCTGATCATGAATCTCACCCCTGATTTTCATATAGACCTCCATTGCTCGTACCAGCTATGCAAGTACATCTTCTCAACTGCAAGTCGCCCGATGATTTTATTCGGCGGCTAAACCTCAACAAGCTGGAACTATGTATGATGGTCTTAGAGCAGATGCAGCACACTTATCCATCTGCATCCATCTTTCGAGGCGTCTTTCTCGGTGCAATACGCCAGGTCTTCCCTGACTATATGACTCAACAGCCCAAGCCAGAGACAGCGTATCCTGTCCCGCAAGATACCCCTCTGGATGACCCAGCCGAGTCCATGGTGGTCAGTGACGACGTTATAGGAGCACTTATGAATGAAGCGTCCATCTACAATTTCTGGGAGACGTTTAATTGGATGTAGCTAGAACCGCGTTGTATGGAGAGGCCGTTGTTTATCGTAAAACCTGATAATGATGATTCTAATTAGGTAAATGCAAATCTAATAACAAGACAAATCTCTAATATCTATATACAGTCAAGCACACATTCTATATAATCACAGAAGAGCAATTCCAGTAAACGCCCGGTAGTCGTCGGAATGGATCTTCTCCTTATGGCTTCCATCCAAGTTACAGCGGTAAATGTTGCCGCCGAGGTCGGTAAGGTAGATGTGACCGTTACTGAGGTCCAGCTTCAGGCCAATCGCTTCCTTCAAATGCCTTGTCAACACCTCATATTTCGGATCCGATTTGGTCGATACCGGGAGACCAGACCCATCCAGCTGTGCCCTGAACAGCGCGTTACCCAGCGGAACCTCACCGCGGTCCGTCCAGTAGAGCGTTTGAGACTGCTCATCCAGCTCAAGGTCAATCGGCTCCGGGAGGTCACCGAGCACCAGCTGAATATCGTCCCTTGAGGCTCCTGATTGTCCCTCGGGGGCGGTGATGTTGGCACAGAAGATGCGACCCTTGCCGCCCTTCGAAGGGCCCTTCTGTGACCAGTAGAACTTGCCCAAGCTCGGGGCTACGGTAATACCAACACACCAGTCGGAAACTGCATTGTCATTCGCATCCCTCGAGGTACTTCTGTCGATCACGGCCTCGAGGTCGGAGCCATCATAGCCACAGCGCCAGACACGGCATCCTTCACGGTCACAGAAGTAGACCTTCTGCGCCTCGTCATCGACTGTCAATTGTTTTGGTGTGTTGACTCGGCCCTGAGGGACCACCGTCTGGATACCACTGCCGTCTACATTGGCGGAATATACCGCGCCATCGTCCTTCCCAGGTACCCCCATGCAAGTCCAGAACATCCGGCCAATTGTGGTGTCCACGGCAATGCCATCAGGCAGGGACTGCTTTGGTGCAAGAACTTTCTGGATCTTGCCATCTGGTGACAGTTTCAGCACCTCGCCCGACGTGGTGGTCGGGTTGGCGGCGGAGAGTCCGATGTCCAACACCAATATTTCGGGCGCTGTCGACTTGTCGTTGACGGTGGCTTTCTTTTCTTCCGCGGGAGGGTAGAGACCACCCTTGAGAGACTTGTTACCCAGTCTACCCTCATCCAGATAGTTCCGTTTCAGGAAGTCAACGGTCTTCTCTGGCGAGAGTCCGCGCTCCTCAACATAATGACCCTCGATAAAGGCAACGGTATCCAAACCAACCTCTACAAAAAGCATACATCAGCAATGCACCAAAAACCCTAAAGCCCAGAAGCAACTCACGGTCCATAGTCTTGCACGGCAAATTGCGTGGCTTAATAAACATCTCCGTCCACATGGAATCAATCTCCTCCGGGACGGAAACGCCCTCCGCCAAGATGGTCAAAACCTCGCGCTTAACAGCAGCCCACAACCTATTGAAGATAAACCCGGTCGACTGTTTCCTCGCAACATAAGGCAGCGTGGCAGCCTCCTTCGACCTCTCAACCATAAACGGGAAGACGCCCTCGTCCGTAAATCCATCCGTCATCAGCTCGACAATCATGCACCCGGGGGGCATATAATAATGCATGTTGAGGATGCGGGCCTTAGTCGCGTCCGAGACTTTCTCGATCATCTCCGACGATTTGTACGAGGACGAATTCGACGCCAGAATACAATCTTCTGGCGCGAGGGCTTCCAGCTCGGCGAATGTGGCGATCTTCAGCTCGAGTTTCTCGGGCACAGCTTCGATGACGAGCCAGGCGTTGGCGACGGCTTCTTTCATGTCTTGGTGTGCAGAGTATTTGCCGGGCTTTTGGCCTGTTTTCTGCGCGTATGCATCGACGTTCTCTTGGATGTAGGCTAGGCCGTCGGCGCGTTGTTGTTCGCTTGGGTCGCGGATGCGGACTTCGTAGCCGGCTGAGGCCCAGATACAACCTATTCGGGAAACCGTAATGTTAGAGCTTGGGAGGCCTAGCAGGCTGGTGAAGTTGTGTACCTATCCGACGTCCAAGTACACCCGCACCGAGAATGACAACCGGGCGGTTGCGGTAATTCTGGGGTGATTGCCACGTTAACTGCATTGCTATGTATGATAGAGCGAGGATACGTGAGTCTGCTGTAGAACAAAAGTGAATAGTCTAGTTAGAAGTAGATGGGTTATTCAGATGAACGAGCCACAATCAAAGCAGGCGAACATCCCTGTATTTGTACAAGATTCGGCATCCCCGGGCCGCTCCCCAAGCCTTCCGTAATCAAGGAACTCCTTCCATGGTACAGGAAAACCACATAGTGACAGCAAGTATCAGACTCCGGCCCAAGAGCAAACCAGCAAATCAGCAACTGGTGCGGCATTTACCTGTTCCTTGCCGTGGAATTCCATCATCGGGCCACGGATAAAGACGCAGTGCCGCTAGCCCTCATGGCTAAGCCAGCCTTCCTATGCCCTAAGAGCCGCGGGATCGAGTCATGCTACTAATGCAGCGCAGATCGTTTTAGCGGTCTAGACAAGTCCCACTAAACAAAGGCTTGTTTCGGCATTGATTCGGAATGCCGACCTCTGCTGTCTGGGTATGCCGTGTGGAGAGTCGGGTTGCCGAGGTTGCGTTACCTCGGAAAGGCCCACTTAGGGCTGCTGGGATGAGGTAGTATGGGATTCGCTGGGTGTATGCATCCTCTTCCAATCATAGTTACGCGGTAGATAAGCCTTGAAATGGAATTGCTATTTTTGTTAAGTCGAGACTTAGTATAAAGGTCTTTGCTCGTGTTCCAGATTCACTAAGGTCATCACTCGCAAGCTGAACTACCTACATCGCATGCGCTCACGGCAAGACTACATCTGAAATTGTCTCTGACATATATTCTTCACCTTGGTCTTGTTTCTCATTTGCCATTAAGCTAGCATTGTGCCAAATAGCGAATATGCAAGAATTCACTCTGCAGGATGTGGCAGCCCACAAAAGCAAGGATGATCTGTGGGTAGCTATTCATGGCAAAGGTAAGAAATGAGTCGGTGAAACCCCACACTATACAGACAGTATATGTCTAACATACACAAAGTCTACGACATAACAAAATATGTACGCGACCACCCCGGAGGAGCGGACGTGCTCGTGGATGTCGCCGGAACCGATGCGACAGCTGCCTACGAAGACGTTGGACACTCGGAAGACGCAGATGAGATATTGGGGACATACCTGCTCGGCACCCTGAAAGACGCTCAAGAGTTCAAGAGACCCAAGGCAGTCCGTCTGGTCCAGCAAACGCCCTCGAAGCCCGAGACTAAGAGCACCAACAAGTCCACGCCCGCCATTAAAACCCTTGCTCTTACCACAGGGTCCCTGGGAAGCGCGCTCTTGCTCTACATATCCTCGCGCAGCAATGCGGCTCTTAATGAAGTGCTGTCAAAACTTCCAAAGTTACTTCACCAATTACCCGAGATCCATGTGTCGTCCGGCGGCGTCTTACGTGGGGGGTTCTCGAGTGGCTTTGTCGCCGCCAGCATCCTTTGCGCAGCAATCGGCAGCGTAGTCGGGTCGAAGCTCTCGAAGTTCACACGGATCGAGTCGGGCTTTACGCGGTATCCATCGCGCATAAAATCCCGCGGTTTGAAGAAACAGAACCCGCACCTTGCGAAGGGCTTCCTCGAGCCAAAGGATTACAAGAACCTCCCTCTGATCCGGAAAGACCAGCTAGCACCGAACGTTTATCGTTTCGTCTTCGAGCTCCCCGGTCCACGGGACGTCATCGGTCTTCCTATCGGGCAGCATGTCGCCATTAAAGCCAACGTCAACGGCGCAGCAGTTTCGAGATCCTACACACCCACATCGAATAACCTGGATCTGGGCCGCTTGGAACTAGTCATCAAATGCTATCCCGACGGCATCCTCACGGGCCAATACCTTGCGAACCTGCAAGTCGGCGACAAGGTGCAATTCCGCGGTCCGAAAGGCGCAATGAAGTACCACAGCGGTCTATGTAAAAAGATCGGAATGATTGCCGGCGGAACCGGGATTACGCCCATGTATCAACTCATCCGGGCGATCTGTGAAGACGACACCGACACCACGGAAGTGAGTCTGATCTATGCCAATCGATCCGAGGAAGATATCCTGCTGCGGAGTGAACTGGAAGCGTTCGCTCGCAAGTATCCAAAGAACTTTAAGCTCTGGTATATGCTTGACCACCCCCCGAAGAACTGGGCTTATGGTAAAGGCTATGTTACGCCGGAGGTTATGGCTGCGAGGTTGCCTGGGCCAGCGCCTGATACAAAGGTTATGCTTTGTGGTCCCCCCGGCATGGTGAATGCTTCAAAGAAGGCACTCACTGCTGCTGGATTTCAGGCTCCAGGCGCTGTGGGGAAGATGACGGATCAGATATTCTGCTTCTAGGGTTGGTTTCGTATTCTACGTTGTCGGTTGTGGGTATTTTTCCTTTTTTTGTTATGTGCATTCTGTTGAATAGACTTGTATAGACCTGAATAGACATTGTATATTATCAGTGAGTGGTTATTGAATGGGGCTAAAGATCAAGACAATAATTTGGGAATGAGTTTGAAATCTTAAATATAGTCTAATTTATATATACCCAAATGCCTGGAGCAATAATCTTATAATTCTGGTCGAATAAAGGAGTTGCTACAAAGAATATGCAGTATTAATATATTTTATATATTCATATACAAGGCACCTATTGCTGCAATGCCCATCTACAACAGGTAGCCACTATTCGCCCTGGTTGATGCTTGCGTCCGTGCATGACAGCAAACAGCCTAACATAGTCCAGGCTAAGACTTCTGTCTGGGTACTTAGGGGTGTTAGCTGAAGCTATTTAATCAGTGTTACAGGCCCATAGTATGATTCCGTGCATATTTACGGGCTTGCATATCCATGTATCCCTTCGTAATCACTACAATGTCAGTACCCATCTAAGAAGGTCTATTTGCCAATATCGTCTGCATAACCTTATAGCTTTGCGCGACTACCAGCCCGAAAGACAATAAAGCTCCTCCGTACCCTAACCACCGGCTTACTCTATTCTCTAGTCTTTTGGCAGAAGGGTAAAAGTGAAGCAAAAGTGAATAACCAAGGTTTGCTTGCAGGCGCATGGACACCGGATTTAGTTGGGTTCCTTGAGTATAGCTCTATGACCTTCCGATGCTCCATTCCCATCAAGCGGGCGAGACCAATCACCAGTATAATTCTAGAATCATGCTGCTAAGGTTGCGCTCTTTACCACTAAAGCGATAAGATAACCTTCCCAACACAACTAAAGATAAACTAACACCCGGCCATTTCGCTTTCATCCGAGTACTGTGTCATCATCTTGTATCCTGAAGTGCCTCAGGATAGTATGTACAAACTGGGTGTTGAAGACTCTGGTCGATGGTTGAAAGTTTTCTTGTTCGATGTATACAGCATAGCAAAATCATCCTGGTGAAAGAACTCAATAGCTACTGAGATCAATTAGTGTACAAGCGGGCGGGTGGTCTGTCCCATTTTCGAACAATCTGTATATTGGCTAATCATAACTCAGTTCCATTATCCATATCGCGAACCCGTGGAAATCGGAACTCATAAGGCGTTCAAAGGGGTTTATCCGGCTCCAGGGCGTTAGTTTAGCCATATGGGTAAAGTGCCTTGACACGTTGAAAGCCCACATTTAATTTTCTGAGAAAATCCCTCTCTTGCCAGCGTCATCTTCTCGATTATCGTATGTACGTTATCTTTTGGAAACCGTTAGGATTCGAGGTAAGACTACCGAGTGATCATCAATCACCAATCGGAAAATATAAAATAACATTTGAACCCCACTAGCCGAGGAAGGTGGTATCGGGCCCACCACCCGCTTGTGGGTCGGCATGCCGAGTCAGTAGACCCAGGCGCAGGGCTTCCCGAGTTATTCTAGAAGGTGTCATACTGCGCGAGCCAGTCAGAGGAGAATTAATTAATTATGTTTATATATAGATAGTATGATCGCGCTTTTGAATATTCTCGATCATGTACAATACTCCTGTTAGTTTGAGTTGTAATCTCGATTCACTCGTACTTTCTTTCCAATGCCTATACAACAGTTCTATCTCCTAGGGGAGCCGATCTCCTCTGCGAGGGAGATTGAGATCGAATCGTCCCTCGACATTGAGGGCCTCCAGCATCTGATCGCCGCCCATTTCGCCATTGTCGAGCCTAGTGGTTAGTTGGAGTTGCTATACCCATGCCACGATTCTGATTGACTTGCTCACGCCAAACAGGTATCGGCTTCCAAGCCAACGACAACACACTAAACGACATACCCGAAATCACCTCAAGCAACGGCCCGGTCGCAATTACAATCGACGGGAAAGAAGTCCGCGAACCACCAGGTCCCAAGGGTCTCCCCGTAGTCGGCAACTTCTTCGAAGTATACCCAGACCACCTGGGAAACCACCAACGGCTGTTCGAGCAATACGGCCCCATCATCAAGACCACCAGTCTGGGGCGCACAACATACCAGACCAACGATCCGGTCTTGTCGTCCATTGTGTTCGCCGAGTCCGACTTCTTCACCAAGAAGATCAACGAGGCCCACCCTCTCTACGCACTGAAGCAGCCCAGCGCCGGTGTTTTCCTGGGCGACACCGAGACGCCGGAATGGAAGGTCGCGCATAAGTTCTTGCCCCCGGCGCTGGGCCCGAAGGCGGTCCGTCACTACGCGCCTACCATGCAGCAGACGGTCGAGGATGCCTTCAAGGTGTTCGATGCGTTTGATGAGCAGGGCGAGGCGTGGAATGTCTACCAGTATATGTTGAAGCTGGGCTCGCAGGCCGTTGGAAAGCTTACGCTTGGGCTTGACTTCCAGCATTTTGCTTCTCCCGATGCGAATCTGCACGAGATGGTCAATCTGATCGCCGAGCTGCTCTCGCTTAACAAGAAGGTCACGTCGAAGGGTGACTGGTACGCCAAGTTGCCTTTCGGTGATCCCCAGAAACTCAAGCAGATCAAAGCGCGCATCGTGGAACTGGTAGACGAATCTGTTCAGTCGGCGGAGCGGGGAGGTGTCGTGGATCTTCCTCTGCAGGATGCGGCATTGCAGGCTTCCAACATGGTCGGTAAGTAGACATTCCTCTGTCCGTTCCCATAAGAGCCCCACGCGTGTTCATTTCACTTACCATGCACAGACTATGCGGTGCGTGCCACCGATAACAAAGGCGAAAAGCTACCGAAGACAAGCCTCGTCTGGGCTCTTACCGTCGCAACCGGAGCCGGCTTCACGACCACCAGCTCCCTCCTGTCATGGCTTATTTACGGTCTCGTCACGTATCCCGATATGCAGGAAAGGCTTCTCCAGGAACTGATCGACCATGACATCGATGAGAACACCCAACTGACAGCCGACATCACGGATCGTCTTACCTTCCTGGACAAGTATATCAAGGAGACGCAGCGCCGACACAACCCAAGCTTCCAGCCGGGCCGAACAGCGAAGGTGGACCTCATTTTGCCAGGAGGGTACAAGATACCCCAGGACTCGGTCATTATTCCCGCACTGCACCACATCCACAACAACCCCGACCTCTGGGACAATCCTCACAAGTTCAATCCTGATAGATGGGATACCGAGGAGGTGAAGAATAGACACAAGGCCGCGTACATCCCTTTCGCCATGGGGCCGCGCATGTGTATTGGATTCAACTTTGCCCTGCAGGAGATCAAGGTCTTCCTGCCTAAGCTTGTGTATCGGTACAAGTTCACTCGGGAAGGCGATGGCCATGTTGAATACGACCCCATGTTCCAGTTGATCCGGCCGAATAACTTGTACGTTCGGGCAGAAAGGAGAGTCAAGTGGCCACCGAAGACGGAGAACTGAGTCTGTTCTCGCCAGAGAACAGAAAGCAACAAAACGATAGATCAGCGTCATAGAGTATATGTATATAGTCGAGTTTGTTTCTTGGATAGAATAGACAGCTTTGGTTTTAGCTTTCTCGTTCATGCCCGGGGACATATATACCCTGAGTCAATAATATCAGCTTATCCTGTACCCAATGATGAAAGGGATACGAAACTGCCCTTGTCCGAAGCTGCCCCTCAAGTCACTGAATAGTTCGTTCAGCCGTAATGAGGTCATTCATAGAAGGATAAAACTCTGAAACTTAAGGAAACGTTGACCCAAATTCGCAGAAATGCTCGCCTCAAAGAGCTTCTGGTGACCCGCTGTCCTAGGGAGTAACCAGCCTTTAAAACCACCCAACTCAATCTTCAGCTCGATCGTTTTATTAGCGGAGTATCTACCATACGACACGGCTGCTCGGACGCATAGAGACTAGGTGTAAACATAGGTCTTTCTAGCTATTCCCGTGCGCTCAAACCGTTCAGAGACACTATTAATCAGAAAATGATGTACGTAGTATCGGGATGGAGTAAACTAAGCGCGTCATTGACAGAGCCATTGTACGATAACTAGCCCAATATTGTCAAGTGATTCATCATATTGCTTCCATGTCCTGTGGGCTTCTAACTCGGCGTGGATAGTGCCTGGTAGTATCCAGCTTTGTACGCCATGAGTGCAGACAGTAGAGCACGAGACCTTGTTAGAACAGATGGGCCACCTGCCTCCGGACTGATATCGAATGACCCTGGGCTTCCTAGTGTTAGCATCTGGGACCGCCCAGAGGGCCAATGGCCCAGCAAAACGATCTTTCCATCTAGATCTGGCTTCAAACGTGGGATGCAGCAACTCCACCTCGCCTTGTATCGCTGCTCATGACTGTGACGGGAATTAATCCTGCTACTGCTCGTCTCTGAGAAGGTATTGGCCACTCTTAGTCCTCCAAAGCAATGCCCACGTAGAACCCGCTGGGTAGGCCAAGGTAGTACTCGGAGTCGAACAGTGTACGCAGCATACCCGAAAAAGTACGCAAGATATGATATCCAGAGATTCAAACAAGCCTACTTCCAATCCTGCTCAAGCTTGCGTGTGAATTGGTTATGCGTACGGAACTCCTAGGTATATGTTTTGATGATACTCAAGGTACTCAGTTGAGAGGTCAAGACGGGTGCGTGTACAAGTCTACGCATATGATACCATGAACAACCAACAGGTGAAAATCATAAGAAAGAAGAAAACCAATCTATGGTTCTGTCATTTACATATCTATTATATTCTACATGCGACTTAAAGCTTGGCCTTCTCGGTCTGGGCGGCCAGGTCGGGCATCAGCAGATCCCGCAGGTCTGAGGCAGCCTCGTTCAAGTAGTAGCTCATGCGCTCAGCGCCGATGCGCTTGCAGACGATGTTGAAGTTCAGGCTGTTCCAATACGATTAGCATAGGGCGTTTTTAAAACCTGTTCAAAAAAAAAAAAAAAGACTCACCTGTTCTCGTTGATCATGTAGGCAATACCGAATCCATCGTCAATCACCTGACTCCATCCGTATCCGTTGAAGAATTCCGAGCTCAGCTGGCTGGTGGAGAGGTACCACGAGCCGCTGTAGCTGTAGACCGGGTCCTCGTACAAGGCCGGCAGCTGCTCACCCTCCTTGAGCAACTTCTTCAAGCCAAAGAGGTGACGGTCGACACCGCGGCCGTCGCTGGCCTCTGCGGTGTACTTGGAGTGGGAGGCAAGGGCGGTGCGGAAGAGGCGCACAACCTCCTCACGGGGCACGGAGGGGTCGCTCTGGGCCTTGCAGAAGGCCACACTGTCGTCGGAAACGCTACGGATGGTCTCGGTACGGCCCTCCTGGAACTTACGAGTCGTGGCAGATTCGTAGGTCGGGCGGTTCTTGCCGTACATCTTGAAGTAAGCCAGCTGGATGACCATCTGCACATATGCATCTGGGCTGCACTTGAACTTCTTGATGAGACCCTTGCCGTAACCCTGGTAGGCCTGCACCTTCAGCTCGTGCGAGCTAATCTGCTGGCGGTGCTCCTTGGAGGCGGCGTCAATTGCCTCCAGCACCTCGTTGTTCAGGTGGAAGTTGATGGGGCGGGGATCGGACAGGCCGGAGCGGACAGGCTGCTCCGAAAGGTCGATCTTGTTGTTGAAGATGAGGTTGTTCAGGTGGTCGTTCAGACGGCTGGTGGGGCTGCCGTCCATCATGCTGTGCTCACCCATGAAACCAGCGGTGCCGTTGTCATTGATGATGAATTGCAAAGGCTTGTCGAACCAGCGGTTGGCGCCATCACCGTGCCAGTACTGGTGAGCCCGCTCCTCCAGCGTGACGGGGGTAGCATCGTCAAGGCAGATCAGGAAGCCGCTGGACTCGATATCCCGCAAGGCCTGCTCATTGGAGGGGTGCGCCGCAAGCAGCTTCTTGCGGGCATCCGTCCAGAGGTCACGGTTCGCCGCAGTCAGTGTACCGACGGCGGGGGACTTCTGGGCAATCTGGTAGATACGCTCGAACTGCTTCTCCAGCTCCGACACATTCAGCTGCTTACCGTCCACAACCAGAGGCACCTTGAAGAACTGGTTCTTGCGCACAACCACAATGTGCTCGTTCTCCTTAGCGGGGTACTTCTGAGGATAATCCGCACCGTCAGCGGGAATGCGGCAGCAGTTGAACATGTATTCAAACGAGCTCATCGCAATAGGCTGGGCGCGCATGTATTCCGGCTCCAGGGAGCCATCGTCCACCTGGCGCTTGAACTCGAGCGCCGCGGTAGCGACGGACGCGGCACGCTTGGCGGGGTTCCGGCGAGCGCGGTCGTCCTTGTATGAGTAGAAGTAGGAAACGTAGGGGACCACCGGGTCACGATAACCCAGGTATGCGGCGTGATTCCACCATTCAGTAAGCCAGTTCTTGTGCTTGGGGTCCGCAGCACGGGCCAGAAGTCTTTCCTGCAGAGTCTGGCCTTGGCCACCAGGGCGAACGAAGGCCTCCACGGCCTTCTTGGTGTTTTCATATTCGGCTTCGGAAACCACCGCATGCACCGATTTCAGGTAGCGGCGGGCGGTTTCTTCAAGAGTGGGGACCGGCAAGCGGGGAAGGGAATCTTCGAATCTGAGCATCTTGCCCTTGGAGAGGTCCTCTACGTAGCCTGAACGATGTTAGATCCGAAAGAATGAGACTCCCCCTTTGTGGAAATTTTTCCATCAGGTCAACGTGGTGTATGTGATTGAACTCACCCTCCGGGACAGACGAAGCCTTACGCCGAGGAGCCATGGTGGGTGCCTACATCTGCCAGTTAGCATGCCATTCGAATCCATATCGGGGGCGCCAAAAAAAAAAGGGGGCACAATTGAGCGAGTCATACCACAGCCGATCTAGCAAGAAGAGAGTTGGTGGGAGAGAGACGGGGCCGTGAAAGTGTGGAGAGACGGCTTCGAGCAGAGGCCGTAAACATCCCTCTGGACTGTGACGGGTGTCTAGTAGGGGAAGGGTATGAGGTGGAGAGGTGAGTAGATTAGAGAATTGAAAATCTTGAAGCGATCGAGACCGGGCAGAATAGTTTAAAGTAGAGAAAGAAAAGGGAACAGGTGGACAGGAGCAAGAGAACAACCTCGGTTGGAAGGAGAAGCGTTTCGGCCGACCTTGGGGGTCGGTATGATACCGTACCACTAGGTCCTTTTAGTGGGGAGGCGCAGGCAAGCTCTACGGAGTTCTCCGTAATTTGAGGGGTAATACGGAAACCGGAGGGCGGAGCACGGAGCACGGCGTATTGAAAGCGTGTCGACGTAATTCCCCCAGACTTTTCCTTGGGCCTCGGCACATGATCCCAATCCAACTTCACGGCACGGCACACCGGTCAACCTGAGTATCACCTCCGGAGCCCTAATCAGGCAAGTGCCGGCCCTGATTCGAGGACCGGACGCCAAGAAGCATTCCACTCGCATCGATGTGGCTCTCCAGTGTCCACTTCACGGGGAATCGTATCCCGTGATATCTATAGCATACTCTGGACGAGGCACCAACATCTCTCTCTCTCTCTCTCTCTCTTTCAGGATCTTCCCGTTAACATGTGGGATACTCTACCGAGACACCCATGATCATGTCTCCTTCTGGGGACAACATACCCATGAAACAACTCATGATAAATTCTCCCTTCATCCGTCCCGCTGATCCGATCTTGTCACCTGCCCAACGGTCAGATGAACCTTGATGGGGAATGACATCTGATTGGCGCCGGCGGCGGAAAGGCATTCGGGAAGTTTAATAAGAGTACTAGTACCTAAGCTTCGGTTCCAGTACTGGGGACATGGATATAATTATACGCAGGACGTCCCTGCGATTAAGCAATACATGGCAAGGGATTTACTCGTAATAGGAGCTTAGCCACATAAGATTGAATTGAATTCATCAACTCAGACAAACACGACACGCAGAGAGGTAAATTCAGAGGAATGATCAGTTTGCTCCACGCCTCGCTAGAACAACATATACATCTAAAAGCCGTGAACACACCACGAAAACAATAGGAAACGCCCACCCAAACCTAGAAATTAGTCGGTAGAGAAAAAAAAAAAAAAAGTATGCACAACGCATGAACACTCATTACAAATATCATGATACCGTCTGGACCGGTGCAGCCGGCTGGGGTTCTTGACTCTCCATGGCCTTCGTCTTCTGTCGCGTGATCTGAATGCCATTGCGGAGGTGCTCCAATTTCAACACGCCAGGACCGGTGCAGATCCGACCGGTCTGCATCATGTTGCGGAGCCGTTTTCGCCGTGCTTCTCCACTACGCTCCTCGCCGCGACCAACGCCCTCGTCGACCCACTCAGTCCGTAGCACTTTAAAGCTCATCCCATCATGCGTTCCATCCCAGGGACGTGACTTGAGGCCAAACAGCACGCTCGAATCATACCGTTCCAACCGGGGAAGGATGAGAAGTATAATATGTAGGTCCTTGTCCGACGGAGGAACCGGCGGAACGCGAGGTCGATCGCCTTCCGGCAGCCCAACATCTTGGGCCGTCTTCGGTGCATGTTGATAGGCATCCTTGATTTCCAAGTCAAGCATGTCGGCGTCGATATCCTCACCCCACGCTCCGCGCATGAATCCCGAATGAATGGCCGCCGCAACAGGATCCGAGTCGTCGGTGTAGATGCCGGTACCCCAGAGCGCACGCCGAGCGCAAATCTCCTCGCGATGGCTGGAGTCAATGCGGAAACGCGGGACTCGGATGGTAAAGGTGCAATTTTCCTTGCCTTCAAAACGTGGGAGGGGAAGCGGAGTGGTTGTGTAGCCAAACTTGGCACTCTCCAGGGTCGCCTTCTCTGTAGGGACGCCAAGGCGGGGAGCGTATAAGGTTGACCCGAGATGATGGCGCGGGAGATGGGCCACGCTCGACAAAACGGGTTCAATATTGACCACGGTCCTGGGTTCACGCATCGGCGTCACCGCCGGCGGGTTGGCTGTAGCAGGGCGTGGCGTATGATGGTGGTGAGGGTGATGGTGATGGTGATGGTGATGATGGCCCATAGGCGTCGTCGCTGCATCGGCCTGCGTTGAAGCCCGCTGGAAGTAATTCAGTGAAGCGACGGCACGATGGGCGCCCAGGGCGCCTGTTTCTTCGTCGGGCTTATGGCGATGATGGTGATGACTGTATGGTATTGTTAGCATAAGCTAATTGAGATATCTCTGTGTGCAAGAACAGAGATAAACAGGTGGAGTAGTAACTTACTGATGATGGTGATGGTGAACGTGACGACCCCGACGACTACCACGCGCCGAGGCAGCCAGCCGTGCATCTGTACCGGCCTCAGTCTCCGCTCTACCATCGTCGTCCCGGGACTTCCTTGGTCTTTTGCCATTTGCCGACGTGGGTCGACCGATCCGGGTCTCATCCGTAGTTGGCTCGCTATTGGCTGACTTCGCAGTGACGCTGTCGCGCTTGAAAGGGCTGGCAACCATTGGGGTGGAGGGGCCGCTGCCGGTGGTGGCGGTCACGCCGCCCACACCGCTGCCAATCCCGGAGAAGACTCGACCCAGTTCGCTCTTGATCCCGGCCTCGCCGGCTGGCCCAAGGATCTGGCTTGGGCGCCTTGTACCGCTTGGGGTAAAGGTGACGCTCGCCCACCTCGTTTGGCGTCGAGACCGACCCCTAGAAGGGTTCTGTGCTGGAGCAACTCATCGCTACCCTTCCGCCGTTGGTCATCTGATGAAGCGGAACGAGCCAAAGATGACGGGCCAGCGGACGGGGTCGAGCTAAATAGACGCTGTTCGGTTTGAAGTTTGCTCAGATATGGCTGCTGCTCATGAGGGGGAGGAGGCGTGGGTTGACCCTGGCGGGGCTGGATCGACAGGGGAGGTTGTCGTGAGCCTCCCAATTGAGAGCCCAAAGATTTAGTGTAGCTTTGAATTGCGCCGAACCCGAATCCGGAGCCTGACTCAGGGGCGGGGAAACGCTTCGCTTCCGGTGACGGTGGCTGCGAGCGACCAAGCTCCCACGTCGCTGCCGTCTGCTGCCGGGAGGCTGCCGGGTCCCGTTCCCCGTACGGACCATACCGCGATTGAGAGTGTGTCGCCTTGGACTCTTGGTCGTGTGCAATGGCTCTCTCTCGTTCTCGGTGCGCTTGTTCTTCCATGTGACGATCCACATATATTCCTCCAAACCGGCTGTGCTGAGACTCCTGGCCCATGTATGACGCTTGCCGCTGGTGCGCTCCTCCAAAGCCCTCCCCACTGCCCGGTGCAGCCGCCGATCGTGCAAGTGGACTATACCCTGCCGGTCGCTGAGGCGCCTCGAGGTGCTGGGGCTGGCTGTTCGGTCGAGGAGCGGGTGCGCTGAAGCTGAATCGACGCGTCTCGTTGTATGGAGGCTCGGCGGACGACACTTGGGGCGAATGATGCGCGGAACTGGGCTTATCGGGATACTGCGACGAGGGCGGGACGCGCGACAGGCCTCCGAATTTGGTTTGTTCCGCCACGGACGGCTGAGACATCCCACCCGAGCTAGATCGGTATGGCCTCCCCGGCGGGGCCTTCGAAAACGACTTCTCCGGCGTGTGGGATCGCCGGAAGGACGAGTACTCAAGCGGAGAGGGTCTCGCTGGGGCGGTGGGCGGCGACATTGCACTGGGGGCCGACGGCGGAGGCGCGCTGCTGAACGGCGCGGATGACACTGGAATACGCGAAAAGATAGATGATGAGCCTACATCCCGGGCTGGACGGTCAGCGTCCGAGCCAAGCATTGCCGATATCGACATGCTGCTACCAGGACGATGATGAGCCGGGTTGCTGGGAGGCTCACGGGACGAAAAAGCTGTGGAAAGAGAAGAAGCATTTCCCGATTGGCCCCGTGAGGGGTAATGCTGTGGTGGAGACGGAGGAGGCATCCGGCGAGTGCCTAAGGGTGGTGCGGAGGGCTGTTCTTGGGGTCCTCCTACGCATGATTCCGAGGTTAGCGAACAAGTTTGCCAGCGTCACTGTAAGCAGCAACAACGAGAGAACAACACAGAAAAAAATAAATAAATAAATATTCAACAGCGGTAAGGAGAAAGTTCAACAATATGTGCGATCGTGCATAGTTGGACCCATGGGGCTCTCACGGCGCGTGAGAGCAAGGGCGCCTTCTGGCTAACGCCTGGCACTCACCAGGAAACACGGGACTGCCACTGCTGCCCAAAGACCGCCGACGGCTTGGGTCATGCGATGGGGGAGGGTTCATGTCGCATTCAGGAATAGAAATCAAAGATAACCGAAATGAAATACAAGCAAATAAGACGTGGCGGGGAAAGGGAGACGAAGAAAGGAAAAGAAACGCGCGAGAAAGGGGAGAGATGATCTGATGCTGATGGAGAAAGCGCAACAAAAGAGTTCCACGACTGGGGCAGAACCCGTGACTCTGGGACTTCCGAAAGCTCGGCCAGCGCTAGACCCGTTCAGACCAAGTCGCCCTGAGAGAGGGCGCTAGGCCCGAATGGGGATAGCGCTCCCGAGGTCGCCTGGGCTGGAAGTCGATCAGGCGCCACAAACGCGGCTGGTGCAAGACCCGTGATTGGCCATCGATCTCTGGTCTCAAAGTTTGGGTACCTTTCCTTGATGTAAGGTAGGACGGGGTAAACAATGAGCCTGCATGGAGACAATCGACGAATCTGCAGGGCGACTTCTCCCCCAGGTTATGCCAACAGGAAAAGAGGTAAAAGTGGCAGAAACGAAGAAAGGAGAAACGAAACGATAAAATAACAATAAAAAAAATAATAAAAAAATAAAAAAAAATAAAAATGGAGAGTCTTTTTCTATCCACTGTCTCCGAATGACCACCGGGCGATCGCAAATGCGACCAGCTGGATCCAAGCAAGGCCCAACCCCCCTGAAGTCTGCCATGACTCAACACATCGAGCAAAATAGAGAAACAATCAAGCAAGAGTAAAACAGCCGAAACTGACGGACAACTTGAGAAAATTCGAACGTGTTTCCTACCTTCACGATACACCATACGACGATCATGGTTGTTGAGCTGATTAACATTATAACTATAATTATGACGATTATTAGACTCCTTTAATCCTCCGTCCAGCGTATGCTTCCTCATCGAACCAGGGTTCGCCTGTGATACGTGATACCCGTTGCTCTCTGGTCGATATGGCGCCGAGACACTCTCGTGGGCATATGAAGCGGAGGCAGCAGGCATCGATGGGGCAGCAGTCGTTGGATAGTGATATACCGGCACCGCTCGAGGCATCTCGTGTTCGCGTCGGTTATACGCATCGTAATACACGCGTGCTGATGGAGGCGGTGGTGGTGGTGCGTAGGCACGAGGTGGCGGCGGAGCAATGAGGCGAGGATCGTGGGACGCGCCTAAGATCGCCGAAGGATGCGCATGATATATTGGATGGGAAGGATGTTTCTGGAAATCCATCATCATCGTGGAGGGGGTGGTATTCGAGTCGTGGTCGAGGTTTACAGCATCCACGTTGGGCGAGAGGTTTCGTGTTTGGGCGATGGGAGAGAAAAATTGAACCCGTTGATGATCGCCAAATGGCGGTGGAAAAGGGAGAGTTGAGTGAGTCGAGACCAAAGCTTGTTTTTATGTAACGATATCCAGCGGCGCGGATGACGGAGGAAAATCAAATAATACGATGTCGAAAATAAGAATAATAATGGGATCCAGCTCGACAAGTGCGAGGAACAGAATCCACGGAAGAGGAAAGTGAAAACTTCCACAGCTCTCTCAGATAGCTCGGGCAGGAAGGTGGATGAAAGGTTTGTGGAGAGACCAGGGAGAAAAAAAAAAAAAAAAGAAAAGAAAAGAAAAAGCAGGAAAATCGGTGAGAAATGGAGTAGGGGCACAGGACGAACATGCGACAGGCCCAACTGTCGAGTTGGCGCAAAACCATCGGAAGAAAAGCGGCGCAGAACCAATCAATTGAATGCAGAACCGCTACTAGTTGGGTCGATTAACGACCAGCTGCAAATCGTAGTGGCCGATGGGGCCGTCGTGGCAGCGGGGAAGCTGGGTGGAGCCCTTTTTGGGACTGGATTGTGAGTACGTACGTCTTGATTTGATTTTCTTTATTTTAATCTTCATTTTAACATTTGATATACACAACGGTGTCATCTCTCTTCTACTACTGTCATGTCTTCTATTTATGGTTGCTATGAATTATCCTTGGCTTTCTCTCTTTATTTTATTTTGTTTTGTTTTGTTTTGTTTTGTTTTTCTTTTCATTTCTGTGATTTTTCTACTCTGATTCCCTACGAAGAATCACCCTACGTTGGGCGCAAGGAATCCCCGACATGCCTGTTGGTCGGCATTTATGCATCACGACGTGTCATGCTCATCATTACCAGCACTTGATCTGCGGCCAAACGATTAGTCTCGTCCCTCGGTTCCCTCCTTCGTTTCTACTATCAATTGACCCTGGAACTCGTGTCTGAGCTTCCCTTTCGGTTCATAATAGCGGTATTATTACTATTCTTCTATATAAAACTCCTCCTTAATAAGACAAAAACTCCACCAGACCAGATTCAGGAGTAAGACAGGAAGAATATTAAAACAAAAATATCAGAAATTAATTGAAAATAAATAAATAAATAAATAAATAAAATAAAACACAACAACAAAAAAGAACAGACAGAGAGAGAAAGAAAGAAAGAAAGAAAGAAAGAAAGAAAGAAAGAACACCCCCGATAATCTTATGCCCTCCCAAGGGACGATTTTCAAGAATTCCAGCCAGCCTGATGTCATCCCCCAGCGTTAGATCCCCACCATTCAGGCACCGCAGAGTAAAATCCCAATGCGATCCAGTTACACCGCGACACCGCCTCCCGACGACTTTTGAAGCAGAAAAGGAAAATGAATTATTAATAAATCAAACACCAACGCGAGAAACGACACCCTTCAAAAGAACCCTTATTCGTAGCCATGGAAACTGTTATATTCTCTTGTTCTACACGATCGGCCTGGTTACTTCTTCATGTGGCCTTAATTTAATGTTTGGCCGCTGAAACGCTTCCTCAGTGTCACCCAGAAAGGAACGAAACTCAGGCTGTGCATCGTGAGAACAAAGATAGGCGGCGTTTTGATATTCATTGTTGTACCGTGGTACATGCTCCATACATGCGCATACATACCTCATCCCGATCCCCCTTACGTCGTGGCGAAGGTGGGCTTGATGCGACACATTCCTCTTTCCATGGGTTATCTATCAGAGGCCTGTCGAGATCTGGAAGGGCGCCCATGCCCTGGGTGGTTGTGAAGTCTGGGGCTGACAATTTGCTTGAACTCTCATCCTCGGTTGCGCTTATTTGAAGATGATGAACCTTTCATTTAAAATGATATACATGAATATGTCATACACTCACGTGTACGTCATCCGCATCGTCGTCTACTGCCGAAAGGATCCTGCAAAGTTATACTTTCCCGGTATCTCCCTTCCGACCGCTGCATTCCATGCCTCCGCCGACAAAGTATCGCCCCCACCAAGGAATGTCACATCTTCTCCCGTCAATCTCGATCATATCCGCACCCTCGCGCACCAAAATTCGCCAGATCATCCGTTGGACTTGTGGTGGATAGTCTGAGGCCCCCTCATATCGCGCGCGAAGACCGCGCCGGTGAGCGGCTCGCACTTGGGCGCGAACGCGCTCGATCTGTTGCGGGGAGAACCGACCGCCACGGTGAGGGAAGCCGATTGATCGGGTAAAGCTCGCGGTCGCAGTGAGGAGTTGATATGAGGACTCGTGGTGCTGTTTGAGACTGCTTCCTGTGTCCGCCTCGGTTGGCGCAGGATTGCTCTCTCTGACACTATGGGAGGCCTGGGATACTCTCAAGGCAGAGCCATAGTCCTCCTTCAGTAATTGCTCCAGCGAGGTATCGAACATGATACTTTCCACGATGCTGTCATGCTCAGGTCCAACCACATCGCCGAAGTCCAGGCCCTCCAAACCGGTGAGGACGACGGTAACAGGGCGGAGGACCACCTGTGTTCCGTTCCGATAGGAAAGGTAGCCTTTCCGCTTCAACGGCATGAGTTGAGAAACGAGATGCGGCCACGCCGCCTGGACCACAGTGTGAAGCTCCAGAAATAACGTAAATGGCTGTGCTGGGTCTTTATCAAACAAGCCGATTGGCCCAGACTCGTCGGTAGCGGCTGGAGAAACTTCGGCAGAGTTTCTGGCATCTAACTTCTTCATAAGAGGGTCGATATATAGTTTATCAAGTGTACCGGAAACCTCTCGATTGGACACCAGACTGTCCACAAGAAGCTCACCCCCTTGTGCCTTGAAACCCACCTTAACCCCCGCGCACCCAGCATCTATAGCATACTGGATAGCATCATGTGCCTGTGGATTGTAAAGAATGCAGGTACTCGGTTCCCGGCTGAACTCAGTAGGCCACTGAGCAAAGCCTTTTTGCCCCTCAATTCCACTACGGAATACGATGTATGAGAACCCGTACGGCAGTGCCGCCAGAAACTGAATTACAATCCTGTCAAAGCAGGTTAGCTTTCCACAGTGCTTGGTCTCAATTAAGGTAGTCATGCGTACAGGAACATCAGAAAGAGGCAAACTAGTGGGAAGACGCGTTCCGTCCATCGTTTTCTTAATATAGCCGAATACCTAGCCACATAGGCGGACAGGCCAGGAATACATTCAGTCGGATGGGACCGAAGCGGATGGTCATCGAGTAATTCCCAAGAATATGAATCGTACTCCTTGTCTTGTAGCGATGGGGTGCTATTGAGCGGGTCGGACTCCTTTATCGCTGCCATTTATCTGACGACGACTCTTTCCGAGCCGTCGATAAGCATGCAATGCGGATTTTCAGAATGATCGACGGAAGGAATCGACGGCGCCCCAAGGTGGGGAAGTTCCTATCGCAGAGCCTGGCTGCAGGAGTCAAGGCCAGGAACGAGGTTTAACGGACAGATTCTAAATATGAAGGGGGATCACAGATAAAAAGAAAGCAGAGACAAGGGCATGCATGGTCGCGTGCCACATTGCGTGGATAAATAGGGGAGACATGCAAGGGATGGTGGTGATGGTTCCAGAGCACGCAATTGCCGGTTGGGATGGTTCACAGTTTAGCGAAAACGCCATGAGAGACGCAAATTGTCGGTCGGGGATGATCACTTCGTATAAAACTGCCCAGCTTGAGAATTTGCCTGTTGGACCACGTGAAGCCGAATTTCTCGACCTCCCACGAATATCCACACTGCGGGCATAGATTATTATGATATATATGTTGCCGTATACTGAGGCTATTGGACAATTCAGCTGGTGAGTACTCCGTCCTTCCTTCGCCACTTTCGGGCCGATTCAGCTGGAAGGTGTGGAGATGAAGCAATTAAGGACGCGTGCCGATTCGAAACTATCCCAGACAAGCAATGTCACGGGCGATCCCCTGATTACCGGCAGCCCTATCATCCCCGGTCTTCCTCAGAACCAGGATGCACGTATTCTACTTGAAACATATTACATAAGTTGCTCCGAAGACATTTCGCCTATTACATGCAGTATCAAGTTGAATTCCGAATTTCCAAGAGGATGCCGAAGTTTAGAGACTACTATTGTGGTGAGACGAAGCATCACCGATATCGCCGCTGATCGACTATAACAAGGCCCTGGCGGGGACAGATGTGACTCGAACTCTGACTACATGCCAAGTCGACAAGTAGGAGGTCTAGACTCGACAATTATTTCCAACTGATGGACCCCCTTGTCATATACAACCTTTCATTCGACTCGTTCGGTCTGTGGGTGAGATGCCGAAATAAATCTTGATCGATTGACGATGGGAATGCTGCTTTAGGATCTCTGATTTAAAGGGCTGCTCTCTTCGCGTCCAGATGATGCTCGAAAATGGGTAGTCAGTGCCAGACCAAGGACAAGTCGACGTTGCATAATCAAACGAGGACATATCGTTGAATGAATGAAGCAAAGCGACTCCGTGGTAGGTTCACGGCAGTGGAAGGCGAACCCATTCTATTTACCCTGTATGCCTATAACAACCACGACCAATGCATCAGAGATGATAGAGCCAAAGGTAAATTGGCAGGAAAATACCCGCAGCTCACAGATCACAGCAGAGGATTCCTCTTCCACTTCGATTTCCTAGTTGTTTGCACATGGCGTCCCACCCTCGCTGTGATTGGTATAGCAGCAGATGTCTCAGCCCATATTCCATAATTGAATGGGGCTTACGCAACCTCCTCCATGTCGAGTCGCACAGAAGGATATCCTTGATTGAAATTTAGCACTGTACGACAGGCCCGTTAAGCGTAAGCCTAAATGGAGGTCGAGATAAAACCCCCTCGGAGCTTACCCAACCACTCAAGCTGATCACAAGGGGTCCAAAGATAGTAACGCTGTGATACAACACAGCCACCCAGAAAGCTTGCGTCGAGGAGATCATTGAGGTAATTGGGCACAGGCCGTCGGGGCCAGGTTACGCCAGGGAAAAGTTGACATGGCTGCCTACGCACTACCGGGCGGACGGACAAAGAAAGGGAAATGGAGGAATGGCAGCCAAGCTGGGGGGGGGGGAAACAACAAAGAGTGGGAGTGAAGTTCAGGGTCCAGGGGAAAGGGGACCGGTTGAAGTTGTCTGCGAGTGCATAAATACTCGTCGTCTTCCCCTCATGCTGGTGACACAGGAGAATCATCCGACCATATCTTTCTCCTTAACCTCCTCTCCATCGACATCTCCTGTCGCTACCATCTTGTTGACCACCATCGCCAGCCTGAGGACCCTCTCTGCTCTGGATACCATCATCAATCCATCGTCCCCAACCTTCAGTCAACATGCAGATCTCCTGGTTTGCCATTATGGCGGTTCTGTTCACTGCCGTCGCTGCCAAATCGACCGCAACCACTACGACTGCCGCTGCGACTTCGGCCAAGGAAAGCTCTAGCTCGGCTTCTACCAAACCAACCAAGAATGCGGCTGCCGGAAACGCCCTGAACAACCCATTCGCATTCCTTCGAGAGTTGTAAGAAGATATGGCCAGGTACGTCGAAGGTCAACGTGACTGAACTGTACCCAAGCGGCTGATAATCCTACAGACACGGAGGCGTTGATGGCAATGGATGTTATTTAAGGAGGAAGAGGGGGATTAATGGCTGAGAATGAGAGAAGTAATAGCCTACGGTTGTTGGACCTTGGACCCGGGTTGAGATCTGGCATACCTTGATTGCTTCCCAGACCCCAATGTTCCATGTAGGCCGAGGCTTAGCAGATAACGGGGACTATCTTTTCTTTGGTGACATTCGAGTGATGTATTGTATGTAGGACGGAGTAGCCTAATTGAGCTTGAGCTTGGCTTGGTCCATATATACTATCAGAGGGGTTGTAGTGAGACCCAGAACTCATGGTCCCCTATTCGCATCTAGACGGCTACACCTTATGATAACAGTAACTATATAATGCCATAGAGTAGTGCCGACAACGAATCCCACACTGATCCCGAGGGAGGAAGGTATATATCTGTAACAAGCTTAATCAACAACTGACCAGACATAGATACATCATTGGCTCATGTGTCCTACAGCATACGTTTCCCTATCCTACACACTGATCTTAACACTGCCGTATCCATCTGTGGAAGGGCTATAAGTATCCAGACGTCGGCACTGAGAGAAGCTTCACAAAAGCGCCCCAAGTCCCGGCTCAACAATACAACAATACAAGAAACGACCAAATAGACACAAAGATAACCAACCACTCATTCCAAACCACTCAACAATCATCCAGCCATTCTCCCACTTACACATACGAGCCAACCACTCTTTGATGAACCACATCTAAGCATACAATGGAGCAGAAGAAGCAATACAAGACAAAGAACACCCATAAACGAGCAAAATATCTTAATAAACTGAAGACCAAACCCCCAGATAAAGATAAGATAGCACAAAAACATACCCCTTCTCCCCCCCAGAGAAGATAAAAGCAATTTGTAAGCCCTCGATCCTACAAAGCAACGAGACGAACCACAACCACATACCCAAGCTGCTACCTTACTCTACCTTAGTCCGAGCCTGGTACCCCGGGTTCTTGCTAAATATAGGACCAATATGCACTTCTTGACCGTGGCCCTGCTTGGAGCCTTTTTATTTGCAACTGCGCTAGCTGTGCCGAAGGATATACGAGGGTACATGTCCGTGTGTACTGAGGGTGGTTGTGATCCGGCGTTCTTTCTTTGCAAGGTATATTACTTTGGTTTATTGAGCAAACTGATGCTGGAGCTTGGGCCTGCTGACCGGTGTGTAGATACGGGAGGGCGAAAATCAGGGCAGATGTTGCTATATTCGCAATGGGCTAGGTGGACCGTGTTGATCATTTGTATTTGGATCTTGCATATGCTGTTAAGACGCGTTTCTAAGGCAGCGTAAGGCATCGATGGATGCAGCATTGATGCTGGAGGGGGTTTGTATATGTTGTATTTAGAGGCGAAAGTTGACTCTGAGAAGCATTCTCATCAGTGTTGCTGTAGTAGAACATATTCGGTTTCTACGTTAGTGCATTAGAGAGAAGAAACCAAGTCTCATCTACTAGCAACTACAGGCAAACATCTCTCTACACTGAATACCCAGTAAAGAAGATCATTCATCAGTCATCATTACCGTCTATAGCACAATAAAGCCAACAGACGACTCAATTAAAATATTAGGCAAAACCGAAACGAGTCCACGCCAGACCCAAGCGACAAAGGTATCCTGAAAACTAAAAACAACGCAGAATGGAGGTACTATTACTTTTTGATCCGCACTGTACGCCAGCGCAGACCAGGAACTGAAGCCAGACTATGCTGAAAGCCCGCTTCTGGCTCGGATCCGAGCGCCGAAGATGTACAGGAGGAGGGGGATAGGGATGAGCAGGGCGCCGACACAGCCAAGAAGGGTGCATGCCCACTCTACTCCGAGCCCGTCGAACTATATTCATGGGCTTGTTAGTGGACTGTGTGATTGCGGGTGTGGGTAGAGTGTACGGTACTCACCATTTGGGTTGCAAACAACGGGAATGCGCCTCCGGCTGCTGATCGCAGGAATGTATGTGCTGCGATGGCTGATGCGGACCTGACGGGGGGTTGTCAATTTTCTTTCATGTCCGTCAAAGACAACACGGTGGGAGGCTAGTGTACTTACTTGTCACCACTGGCTTCTACGAGATACGCCAACGAAGGCAGAAACATCGTGAGCAATCCGAAGCCCGTTAAGAGCCCGGATGCCGTCGGGACAATCCAGTGAATGCTGCCCTTATACCCAGACCATCCCAACCAGAACAGCCCGCCAGTAAACAGAACGGCACCAGGAATAGCAACCGGAAGACGCCATTCAGGCATCATCTCACCGTTGTTCTGCTTCAACTTTCGCAGCACCCAAGGCTGGGTGGCAGCGGTGGCAGCAGCGCCAAAGAGCGTTCCAATAATCACACCGATGTAGGGCAGCCCGCCAACTCCTGGGTTCATTCCACGGGTGATCTGGAAGACGTACGGGTAGGCAGTGAGGAAGAGGTAGAGGAGACCGTAGACAAAGGCACCGAAGATGCACATGCACAGGACAATTGGTTCCTGGACCAGCATCTTTAGGGGCAAGCTCAAGTTGTCTCGGACGATGGACCGGAAGTCGAGATGGATTTCCTCTTGCTCGGAGTGGAGGGACCAGTCACCCGTTTCCCGGCGCAGACGCTCAGCTTTCCGGGTCAGGATGACGGGCTGGAACGTTTCCTCGAGGAGCAGAGTCAGGACGACGAGAGCGGCGGCTCCGAGAATTCCGGGGATGTATGCTGTCCAGCGCCAACCTAGAGAATGATTCATGATGATGAAGCCCCCTGTGAAGGGACCAACCAGAGGGCCGATGAACACCATCAGGCAGAACATCACAATGGGGACACCACGTTGCTGGGGCGAGAACATATCGGCAAAGGCTGGACCGGCTAGCGTAAGGGGACCGGACCCAAAGAATCCGGTGAAGAATCGCAGAATGAACAACGATTGGATATCTTTGGAGACGGCGGTGGCGAATGAGAATATCGTGAAACCGAACATCGACAAAACGAGAGGGACATATCGTCCCTTGAGCTCTGAAAAGGGACCGAAGACCAAAGGACCAAAGGCAAACCCAAAGACATACAAGGAAACCCCCAGCGTGGCTACTTCCTTGCTGACACCATGAAGAAGCATCACGACTGGTATGGCCGGGGCGAATATACTACTGGCAAAGGCCACAATCATCGTGCTGAGACCCAAGATGGCGCAGATATACACCCTAGATTTGCATTGCTGCCGGTTAGCTTCTCTGACCCCGAGTTAGGGTTTTCATGGAGGGCACGCTTACTTCTTATTTTTCGGCCAATTGAGTGGATTGAGGGGATCATTGGGACCGTCGAAGTCCACATGATGTTGGACAGTCTTGGTGACCCCTGAGCTAGCAGAGCTGACGACTTTGGGTTCTTGCATGGTGCATCAGTAGAGCAGGAGCGTTTCCAGATGCCGTATACTATAGTAGGAAGGGATGCGTAATATTCCAGCTAGCAAGACCTGTGATAGGTATACGAGCAGGACAGGACAACGAAAGCGGAGGGACAAAGATGAAAGGCTTTCTGAGGATAAGTTATTATATTAGGGTTATCAATGAAAAATTATAGCACAGAACAGCAAAAGACCGGACCAAGGCATAGATAAGTACCGCCACCTCTTCGCTATTCATTGTCCAGCGAAAAGACCCATCACCCTTTTTTTTATTATTATTCACTAATGACAGTATACCCACTCAATCATGCGGAAACCTGATCCTTCCACCTCGCACCACCAGGGAAACCAACCCAGCCCAGGAGCACCAAGTTATGCCAAGCCAAGACAGCGCTGAAGAAAAATATAGGGCCGGTGGTCGACCCATTTCCGTCCGAGTGGATACATCGGTTTTCACCGCGCCTATCGTTGGACCACGCAGCGGCGAGGCGGATCTCAGGGTTGATATGTTGAAGCTTTCCCGAGTTAGGCCACAATCCACAAGGCTACCAGATATCTAAGCATTTATCTCGGCGGAGGTTCGGAATGCCGGGCGCTTGACACTTGACAAGGGCTGTCTGACAATCCGGAAGCCCAACTGAACGGTTCCTATTCTACACGACTTCGGGGACCATAGGAAGATGGGCCTAAAGAGCGAGATAGGGGGCGTCAGTCACTCGGGTGGGATCAGAAAGAGGATTGGATAGAACTTCGGTGATATTCTAATCAAGCGGATATCATGATCCGGCTTCGACTCCTATCAGCATTTCAGTGCGTCAGGCGTGCTCTCTCTGCTTGGGTTAGGCATACCCATGTCCTAGTCTGGTAGGGCTACGAATGGAACTACAGGTAGGGCAGTATTTTAACCTCACATAGGCCCGCAGTTGGTTTAAAATTATGATCCGAATTGTTCCAGAACGGAGCTTTCGTGCAGACCCTGAGTAAGTGTCTATCTATCACATGAATATCACCTTTATGAACAGTTTTCGACCATCATTAGGTAAGGAAATTATGAACCGTCACGGGTTCAGAACTTAAGATTGTCCTTGAGCAAAAGCAAAAGAAAAGAAAAAGACCCACCCGTCTGATGGAATGATCAACGGCTCGGGGTGATTAGAATGGATCTCTACAGTAGGCTCGACTGTAGTAATCGGCCCGATCAACGGCAACCCGAGTGCGGAACCATACCTCCAGTCCACCTCCGTTGTATGCATCAAGGCAGGGGTTCCAAACTTTGATCGTAGGCTCAAACTGGAGATTAAATATCGGTAGACCAGATAATGCAGGAAACCACAGAGAATTCCTGAATGGTTGAAAGTTCGTTAGGGCTCCGAGAATGAAATTCGGAATTCAAACGGGAATGCTTCCGACACGCTGACGTCAGGTCCACAATCACATGCTCTACCGTCGACTGTCACATGCAATATCAGATGTTCTTTCTTTTTTTCCTTTTTATTTTTATTTTTATTTTTTTTGTTTATTTTTATTTTTCTTATTTACATTCTCCCGTTCTAAAACCGGTGTTTCTGTTGGTTCACAAAAAAGTCAGTGATGAGTTGGCAGACCACGTCGCTGACTCACTTTGGGGGCTATCTTCGACAAGGGTCCAATCTGACAGCAGTTGAGCGTTAAAGCAATTCGATCGGAGCCTCAAAGGCTGTGCTCTAGACCCCCTTCCGCAGAAGCCAGGACAAGCCAGTGCATCCCTGCCGACGTCTGGGGATAGGAGGATACCGATATCTCTCCTCTCGTGCTATACATCCATTCACTATGCGCCTTTCTCCCACCGGAACGGTACACTGGACACATCGGTCTTCTCTTCGCTTTTGCGTGACGGAAGGTGTCAACCACTGAATGGCCTTGCACGAATCAGGAGCAATGTTGACACTCCTTAGTACCTTCAGCCCGGACCCAAGATTAGATGTTAGGTAAAAGGGGTCCCGACTGGAGCTGGTGCCTCCGATAATGGAGAGGAACCCGGAGCCATCCATTCTTGGCTTGGGTATCAATCGAACTGGATTCTCCACATCAAAGGGGGCAGGGTGGATTGCGTCGTTCAAGGCTTCCCGTGGTCAATGATCTCAAGCACAAACATAGCCTTGGTAGTCCCACAGTATCCTAAATGCGACGAACCCCTGATTCTCGAGCTACATTCAATGCACACTCAGCCTGTGCTCGCTGAACTCAAATCGACTTGTACCTGACAGGTTATGTGCAACAATTTTCGACTTATCAATGAGTGCAAGGACGCCAGAGTATGCAGGCTCACGCAATACCCGTCTAATAACCCCGTCAAGTATAAGATGGAAAAACACAGATACGCACGTCTGTCTAGACTGTTATGGCATCATCATTTCTGGTAGCCCTCTTAGCCGCATTTCCCATCTCGTGTTACATTCGTCACCACGAGTCCCTGTTGAACCATACCAGGATTCACCTTGCCGAATCCCTCCATAGCCCTAAGGCAACCTCCCCTGCCGACTAGACCAACAGACTAAACCCAGCCTTGTGTCATCCAGTGCATACCATTCCGTATATCAGGAACACATAGTAAAGTGACTCACGTCTACGCACAGCCACAGCACCCACATATAATCTCCGAACTAATTGATATTCTAATGCAGATATAACGTTGTAGGTAGCATGTAAGTAACCCTATATGGTGGCCATACGAGGGGAGTCTGTAAACAAGCCCATGCCTAGATGTCTATACCTTCTTGACATCCAGGTGCACCTCTCTATGCCATTCAGCTGTGCGCAGTGTCCGGGCACTGTATTCTCTGTCTTAATACCAGTACCTCAGGCTCGTGATTACCATCCCTCTAACGACACATATATTCCCACCGTTCCTGCCTTCTGGGAATATGTTCTACTGGTCTGGAATTAGTTGATGTGATCTCTCTTGCGGACTGGACTGGACGATCAAGGCCATATCCCAGGGTAGTCATGGTCATGCTAACGTTAACTAAGGAGTAAGACCCATTCATGTCTTGACGATCCCTTTTGCGCATTAGTGTGGTAAGCAAGTGGCGATCTGCAGAGAGGGAGGGATGTGATTTCTCTTTGTTTTTCTCTTACTGGCGATGTGAATTGGTCCCATGATCAGAGTGCGTTTGACTACATAGTAAAAAGCATATACCACTGAACTGTTGGGATAACGCTATTGCATCATGCATGGATGTGACAATTCAGGGCTAGCTTTTTTCCAGTGGTGAATTGATTGGGTTCATGGATGAGAGGTCATTGCACGAAAGGTCTTACACTAGAATTAACCACGCGGTATGATTGTGTTAAATATATAACTTTCATATTGCTTGTGACATGGTCATTGCGTAGTCGATACGCGATCTATCCTTATAATCAACGTGTATATTCATGAGTATCATTCAAACCACTATCCGGCCATTCTCACGGTGTCCGAGCTCCCTCTCCTATCCCCATTAACCCGCCAGCCAACCCATTCATCCGACGATCCAAGAGATCCTCCTCGCTAGGAAGGCTGCCAATGCTTCTATCCCTGCGTTTGGGGGGAGGGGTCCGCAGGGCGTCTGAGATATAGTCATGTACCGGAGGCATTGTGAGTTTCGTGGGCGCATCGCGTCGTCTTCTGCTGAGCCCTTTGGGCCGGGAACGGCGACCGCGGGAGGCACCGAGACCCTGATTGCTGCTTGCAGTTTGAGGGTCATTGTCATTCGACGCAGAGGCTTGGAGATGAACATGACTCGTCCCATTGGACGATTTGCCGCGCATCTGACTGGTACTCTCGTCCGTGGAATTATTCGGGTGCAATGGTGTCATCCTGCCGAGGCTCATCTCTAAGGGTCTATCCTCGTCACCTGACGATTCGCCCGTTAGGCTGCGCTTATGGTGACGTGGGCTGCTGCGATTGGCGTCCGCCTTCGGAACCTGGTAGTATGGCGCGCTGTCGTGGAGTGACTGCAGCAAACTGGACGATGACTTCCGTCTCTCGGCGGCCTCGAACAAGTCCTGGATCCAGGCTGCGCACTTGTTGATATGTTTCCAGCTGTCGGGAAAGAAGCCGGCCATCTGCAGGAATCCGTGAGAGATCCCAGGAAGTAATGACACCTCCACGTGATCCTTTTCATTAAATGTTCGGTGAGACTTCTCAAGGCCCAGCTCCTGTCTTTCCCGGAATTGATGTAGCTTGGCCTGTCGCAACCTCCCAGCGAAGATTACCGTGTCGTCAACCAGTGGATCACGCTCGCCTGTGACAATGTATGTCTTGGGGAACCGTGCGAGAAGGGCCTCTGGGGCTAGCACGGGAGAGAGCAGGAAGTCCGTGCTAAAGTCAGGGCGATTGTGAGGTCCAATATAGAGGATGATCATTGCCCTCATCATCTCGGGGGTCAGGATCCGATCATGGACATATGAGATCATTGAGGAAACGGCTAGACGGGTACGGATTTGTTTCGGGTGGTGGCTCTGCGCAATGGCAGCTGTCTGAGCTGCCAGGTTGTCTGCCTTGAGCGTTTCTTCAAGTTTCTTGGAAGCACCCTGAGCTACATCCTCAGCTTCAAGATCCAGGTCAGAAGTCGAGTCGCGGAGAAGGTCTTCTGTGGAAGGGCCCGGAGATGTGAATGGCGTCAAACGCTGGTAGTCCATGTTCTTCTGTCGGAGGACATTTTCGTTCGTCCGGCGCGCGCTCTTATCTTGTATAAGTGACATTTGCTCCTCCGTCATCCAGCTTTCCACCCTCATGTTCAACGCTGGATATGCCAAAACAAGCCCATCTGGACGAGGGAGCATGTGTTCACCTTGCCAACGGGGAGCATCTGAGCTGCCGGATTGGAGGGCCATCAGGGTAGTGCCCACTGCCAGATTTCCACCGGCACTATCTCCTGCAAGCACAATACGCGGCCGCACGTCCCCGCTTAATCCCAAGCAACGCCCGCGCGTAGTGACAATGGTATGGTAGACATCATAACATT